TTTGTGAGCTGCCGCCTGAAGCAGGTGACTGCAAACTAGCAAAAACCGCATGAAATGTGGTATTATGACAGCGGCAACGGCGACTGCCTCTCTTTCGCCTACTCCGGCTGTGGCGGCAACGAGAACCGGTTTCCTTCCCTCTCGGCTTGTCTCGAGGCTTGCGGATCCCAGACCGCGGCGCCAGTGGTGAAATTGGATGCCTCACAGCTCGCAGATGAAGACAAAACGTCCATCTCGGAGCTTGTCACTTCCTCTACAGAGGCTTTCATGACAGAGGAGAAAGGAGAAGGGAAGCCTCTTGAAGCCGATTATCCTCGAGAACCTCTTCCATTGTTTCCGTCGCCAGTTTATAATTTGACTAACTTCTCACCACAGTCAGTCGGTACGTTTCAAGTTCTTATGATTCTTGTAGGGCGATCATTGCTAAACTTCTAATTTTTTACTTCTCATGAGTAAAAAACGAAGCGTTGTAAAATTGATCTGATCTGATCTATTTCAAAACATCTGTCAGCTGGAGCATTTGTAAAGTTTGGATAAAATACGCCAGGAACCGCAGCTAGGAATCGATACAGAGCACATGGAAATTTGCACCGTATTCGGAAAATTGTCCGACTTTGAATCGTAGTGCTTGTTTGACAGAATTGCTGATACAACAGTACGGAGGTATTATTAATAAAGAGGGATTTTGAGGAATTCTATTCCATTAAATTCTTAAACATTGATACCTTTCGTAGTCCTACATGTTCTGCAACATTATTATGAAGTGTTCATGAATGAACTGCCGACATTAGTGTTGAAAACTAGAAAGGTTGTTGGAAAATTTATAGCTGTGCTTACAAAAGTTACAGACTAGCTTGAGATAATATGGAATCAGTCATGGAGACTGAGTAGCCAAAAGCTCCGCAGCATTTTTTTCCCACAACTAAATTGCAAGGAGCGCCACAGATTTAGAATCAACAAAGTTACCAAAGCCTATCTTATGTCCTATTTCATTCGGCACTTCTTGGTTAAAAAGCCTATCAATTTTGTCATTTTTATCATGAAGAAGTAGCATAGTGTACATTTTCTTTCTTGAATTGAAGTCATGCATAATTGTTGTCTTTCCTAGATTAATAGTCAAATTGTGTACTTGAATTGGCGCTTGGATTGTGTGAATTAGTAAACGCAGCACGATCAAGAGATACTGTCTGCGTTTCCCACGGCTTAATTTCCCTGTACCTATAAATGAGGCGAGTTTAGTTATTTTCACCGACTAACAAGTGGGTTTTACTCAACCTCATGTTGCTAGAGATTGAGCCGTGCAGCAAACGACCAGAGCCCGGGCAATGTGTTCCGATTGGGTGTCAAAACGGGACTGGCTGTCAAGCTAAGCATTTCATGCGGTGGTTCTTCAATCCGCGCACAAGCAACTGTGAAAACTTCGCCTACAGTGGATGCGGTGGTAGTGCCAACACCTTCGATTCTGCACAGTCCTGTTCCATCGCCTGCAAACAGCGCATCATGAGGCCTGGGAGTGAGTCACAGACTACCCTGACTTAACTTTTTTTGCATGAGGTAAACGGTAATGCCCTCGGCTTTGTTTACTCCCGGAAGTTGATAATACTGCCAGTCATGTTAACACAACAACAAATAATTGCTTCATTTTGGGTTTAGTTTCGCATTTATTGAGAGGGAATTGGCATTCCATGATGATAAATACTTACCACGAAGAAACCTGTGATTATGCTGCCTGATTAACTTAAAGTAGCAATTAAGAATAATGGGTTAGCAAATTAAGGGTCCCCCTTCCTTCCTTTCACGGGTAGTATTTAAGTTAGTAAGATATATTTACCGTCGAAAAATACCAAAATTCTCTTTCCAGAAAACCAGTTTATCAGAATTGCGGTCCCTATTAAGTATGTAGTGTGACTTGAAAATCAATCAAGATACTGTATGATATGAGTAGGACATAACTAGTTTCGTTCATCTTTTCCTGATGAAATTCGGTACTCACTGTACTGTTATATAAATTGTCAGCAGACTTCATCAATATCTGGGATGATAATCATTGCAGGAGATAGGCGCTGTGATAACAACCCGAAGCGTGATGGATGTTTCAGTCTTCCACTTCCTCACCACAACGAAACGGTGATTGAGGCACCAGAAGTATTATTCTACTTCAGCGTCTCCAGCGGCACTTGCAGAGCTTTCCACCCAAAGGCGGATGGCGAGGGCTGTGGACGGCAGGCTTACTTCACAGACGGGCAGGAGTGTCTCAAGGCCTGCGCAAAATCTTCCCCTACCGAACAAGACTTGCCGAGTGGGTTAATTTATTCGCAGTTCCCGCATTTCTCGCACCTATTTTTAGTCGATACTAAGGTTTTGAATTACTTGGATTACTTAATCTTTGAGTCCTCTTCTACTTTATGGAAAGGGCATTCTGTGATTTAAATCTAAAGGTTCTTACTCTTTAAATTCAATGTTTTGGAATTGACTTTTATTGAAGCTGCTATAATATATGTTTTTTAAATTGGATGTGAACTGACACTGATTAATTCATTCAAGTTCTAGCACGTTCTCATTGTCTTCCTGCATTATGTGTCGGCACCATAAGAATAAAGTGTTCGGAGAAATGTGCCTCAATATTCAGTCGCCTGTTGTTATTGGTTCCAATTCTACTATTGGCAGCGGATTCCAAGAGGAGTCGTTTTTTAGAGTTTTTAAGCCCTCATAACTCGATTCTCGCTTCGTGTTTTACCATTATGCAATCTAACCCTTCGAGTCCTCCAAATCACAACTAAAGTAAAAATCTCATCCACACCTTGAAAATCTTTTATTTTACTTAAATATAGTGAAGCGGATGATCCTTTTTATCTGCACAGTCTGAAACCACCAATTTTCCTTTTCGTCTGTGTATCCGTAGGAATGCGGATTGTCTGTTTTGTGCAGAATTAATCTGCTTGGTGGGGAAATGCTATATACCACTACTTCATGCTATCTTGCTGTTTATAAATGGAATGCCAGTAAGTACTATTTTTTGTTGCATATCAGGAAGTGAGGTAGTACTGATGTCCAGGATGGTTTTTATGAAGATTAATTTGTGTTTGACCCCATATTCTTCGAACATTTGCAATCAACACCCAGACAAGGCAAACTGGAACAATGGGAACGCTTTCATTTGAGATTTCATGCAGAAAATCAGTTTTCTAGCTTCTTTGCCCCATAAAATTAGATGATCGGAACGTGTGACACTTTCAGGATGCCTCCAATTGACACATTTCAAGAAGTCGAGTTTTGATTTAGTTTTGGAGCCGGGACACACTAAAAAGAGGTGAACGGTATTAATCTCGAAATGCAATGAGGTAATCCACAGTCATACGATCGCATCTATAGGACTGTTTTCTGCATAATTCGTCTTTATTGGGAAGGTTTTGGTTGTGAACAACAAGAAAAAGTGATTCACCTGAATTTCAAACGACTTTTTCAAACGCCTTGTCTGGGCGTTTTAAGAAACTTTATTTCATACAAACTTGACAATCTGCTTTTGAAGTATAACACGGCTATCGAAACCGCATATTACAAAGAAGAGTGCGTACTTTATGCCGAACGAAACCAAGCCAACTGTTACCGTCTCCAAAAAAATGATCTCAACGGCGTTGATGCTTATGTCCCCATAATATAAATTATTTAGTACATGTTATATCGGAGCAAGTACCTTTAAGGAATGACACCTTTACCAGCAGTTGTTTTAATCACCCATAATAATAATAAGGGAATAATGGCCCACCTTATTCACATTTTAGGAAACAAACAATTAGATAATCAGAAAGACTACCTTAGAAGAACGCCGATCAATGCTGTTACCGGGTAGAATTGTATCCACAATTTTCTGTCTTTGCTCTCAGATCGATGCTTCGCACGAAAGCTCAATTCCGGTGCAACAAAATGTCCACTTGAGCGTCACAATATTTCGCGCTGGTCGTACCTTCCCGACCTTCAACAATGTGTGCTCTTCTCCGAGTGTCACAATCCAGGCATAGCGGTCTCATCTGCATGGGGAAACAACTTCGAGACCAAAGAACTGTGCGAAGCCACTTGTATGCCCAAGGGACTAAAGGGTACAAAAACATTCTATCATCCACTATTATTTATTTTTCACTGATGTGAAATGGTCTACTGTAGGTTTTATAACTTGATCGACTAGTTATAAACTAATTGACATTTTTCCCAACTTAAAGTAATATCGCTTGTTAGTAAATCACATTAAACCATCAATTATCGGGTGTTTTTCTACGAAAATTGCGTCGTATATGGTGCGAAATTGCACTTTCCGAATGGTGTATTTAAGCTTCATTTACGTGACTTACTGATGTTTTTTCTTGATTTAGGACGTTACAGAAATTTAAATCTGGGATTTGTTTATTGGCGCCTCACGCATATGAACCACCTGCACTAGCAAATGAAAAAATAGCTGCTTAATAAACTTTCCCACCATGCATCAATAAACTTCAGATGATAACACCTTCTGGTTTATGCCATTGAACCCGAATACAATTATGTGGAATGCACAGCGATTTCAGTTGCAAAGTGCTCCCACTCAAGTAGACAACTCTCTTCATTAAATAATGCCACAATTTAGTGAATCATTTACGAGTTTTGCTGAAATTTTAAAAAATGGCGGCAAATTTTACCGCCACTTTCTGTATTTAAAGGTATTTTGACTACTCGAGAATCACAAAGTGTAAAATAATTAATCGTTTGTTTCTAAATAAAACATTTTCTTGATACTTTTCATAGCCACTCCAAACACACTTAGTAAAAATGTCAGTACTTTGTTTCGCGAGGTACAATTAGGTTTCTCTACATCTTCATCTGCACTAATCAGCTTTCGAACTGATTGAATTACTTGCGAGTTTACCTGGCGCCATCCGAACCTTTGTCTAGACGTCTGTCGGTTGCCAAAGGACACTGGTCCTTGTTCAGGAAGCCACGCCCGCTATTACTACGACCCAGTAAAAGGAAAGTGTCGTCTTTTCATGTATGGTGGTTGCCTTGGCAACGGAAATCGATTCAGCACGAAGACTGAGTGCGAGGACGCTTGCGGATCATTCAGCGTGATCTACGACACAGGATCCTCCGTCGCCAAGACAACCGATGTGTCATCTGCACAGGTTGAGAAAGTACCGCCTGTTCCCGCTGAGGTTTTTGAGGAAATGCGACGCATCAAAATTATGTATTCAGAGAGATATCGTAAGCTGATTTTCTGCGTTCCAAGCGATAATTGCATTAAACAAATTTTAGTAACAATTGTTTTAAAGAGCAGTATGGGAAGGCAAAGTATTGTCACAATCCACTGATTTCACGGATCAAATTTTGGCCGATACTACCCCTTGTCAAATAAAAATATTTGAATCTTAGTGATGCACTTCATTTCATTAGCATGGGACTTCTGCCTACAACATCACACTTATGGGACATGTCCACGGCCCAGACGCCTTCACGATGGAAGCACTGATCACGGGGTTCATCTTACGCGTTACTTCTACAACCGAAAGACGAAGCAATGTGAACCCTACTTTTACACCGGTTGTGGTGCTCGAGGTAATCACTTCGAGACAAAATCGCAGTGCGACAACGTTTGCACCCGGAGACTCCGTCGATCGGGTACGCCCATTACTTACCTCTTTTTAAAAAGATGTTTTTATAGTATAATTATTCATTTCGTAATGTGGAAAAGAGCCTACTTTGAAACAATACTTTAGGGGTTTCAAAACTCTTGCATTTAGTATCCAGCAAGAGATACTTTGTACTCTGAAACAGATTGGCCTGTTGCTAATAATATACCATCAATCAGCCTCTATCACGATTCCAGATTTTAATTATCAATTTTTACTACCTTCCACTATTTATTTATAGCCAAACTTCCCTTTTCAACACTTCTACTAAGAAGAATATACAATAATTGGAAGGGTATTTAATGAATGCTGCCAGCCCGTAAAGGGCAAACTGAGTTTCTAATTTATAGTAAAACTTGCACCACGAATGGACTAGCTAATTAAATGTGTACAAGCACGCTCATATTTGCATGTAGTCGCCTTCTCCATTTTCACGCACAGTATCACCCATTTGCGATGCGAACCATGTGGATGAGTGCCCGGGCAGTGGACTCCGTCTTTGGATCTATGAAGCGGAGGCGGGTACTTGTCGTCAAGTGGAGGTGTGCTCCAGCTTGAGGACCGCCTCTGTGTCCTTCCGACTGCCAATGGAGGTGGCGAAAGATGTCTTTAGACTGCAGCCCGGTATCAGCGGCAGTGGTGGCATCAATAGCTACCTTTTGCCCGGCACTTTCGCATCCAGCTCCGCCTGCTACAACTACTGCCTCCCACCGACGCCCAGTGGCACCGATGTTACCAGTAGGTCTCGTTGACAGCATTCGCTGGTCTGTTAGAGTGAATTCAGACATTCGTATTTCTCCAGAACAGTAATTAGTGGATTTATTTTGATCGGTTACTATGATTCTCTGTAGAAATGTAGTTCATTAATTGGTGCGAATTGGTACATAATAATATTTAAAACTCCAACCCAAATAATTTCAATTCAAACGATACATATACGATGGAGGTTTATCATTGGGTACGAAGGTAATGGGAGCTCAAACTTATACAGTGTCGTTAGAAATGCGTTTAGCAAGTGAAAATCCTTGGAATGACATCCGAAATTGCCAACCGATGTTTAGTTTCCTAAAAGAGTTACCATTTGCTGACCGTTTTACTATCTGAAGGTGTCAAATTTGATAAGTTTAACCTGGATCATCAAAGGGCGTATAATGGATAATTTCAGTTTTTGAGCATGTGCTATTATACGGCGTTTATAAACACTTAGGCGAATGAAGCACTATTAGCTAGCCACTCCGGTCTCATATAAAAGGTTGTTCTTCTTATAGAATCCTTCTTACTTTGGGTTAACAATGCTGATATAACCAGGACTTTAAGCAGTTTAAACTCATTCGAAACAGAGGCAAATTGACGGAAATACAAATATTGAGTATTCCTTATGACCAGGAATATGTACCTGAAATATTTTCTAGGTTTGTCGGAAGAGTTTTTTTTTTCGTTTTTCTAAGACTCTGTTCTCAGCCAAACATTCATTTTGTTACATTTGGATTGATCGAACATGTTCCATCATCTTCGACTTTAGTAGCTGTAATTTCACTCTCAAGAATATTATTCGATCACTTTGATCATGCCGCACGTTCCATTGAAAGTACGTGGGAGATTTGAATCCGGTATCTTTCATATGATCGTTACTCTAAGCCGAACTTTATTTTATTTAATGGATGCTAAGTAAAAACCGGGAGACGAAAAATGAGATTTCCTACGAATCTTGCCTGTATTAAGCCTAGAATAATGATTGGAAGCGCATCCACCTCTCTAGTAATGATAAAAATATTTTCTACTCTAACCTATGCTTTGATCGAATCTACATGACAGATATCTGTCACATCGACCCGATCACCTCAGTTTCGAACGAGTGTCGCATGATGGGCAAGCGGTGGTATTTTGACGTGAAGGATGGCTACTGCCGCAGTTATATCTCTTGTCCAGTGTACGGTAACAACTTTGCTGATGAGGAGACCTGCAACTTTGCCTGTCGGTCCAAACATATTTCCGGTAGGTCGAATCTCTTTCTCGAGCTTGCATATGCATATCGGCTTCTGTAAACCGCAACATCGTTGTTTACCTACTCTCATGCTTGCAAATGAGGTGATGCCGATCCACCTAACACTGTTTAGGAGGACTTATCTAGCTTGTTTTATATGAACAGTACCTTTAAGTCTTGGCAAATTTCACAAAACGCGAATGCACTAATAAATATCAAATAACAAGAGTTCTGGGTACTTCAGTACTGTAGATTCGGTAGACACAAACACGAATTTTTTCTCAAAACTTTAAAAACGATTATTCTTTTGATTTTTTTTGAGATGTAACGATACTCTGCTAATCCGCTAAACATGTTTGAACATGAAATTGCATATTTCTGGAGGATCCTTAAATTGTACATTCCAGAGCAACATTTTTGAATTATTCGAATGTAAATTCCGAATGATTAACCGTTCTCCAACAATTGTAAAATTTCTAGAAGTTTGTAGACTGCCACTGGACTATGGCGGTTGTTCTAGTTTTCTTCCACGTTGGTATTACAACACCGACAAACGTAGATGTGATCAGTTCCTTTATGGTGGTTGCTTCGGGAATTCCAATCGCTTCCTAACCAAACTGGAGTGCGATAACGCATGTACGCATAACGACATCTGCAGACTCCCGAAACCGGTAAATCTAATCACAATCACTCTTTTCATCACGATGTTTTCCCAGGAAATTTGCGAGCAAAATGGACGAGTTTCTAATCTATTAATGGTTAATCCACATTAGTTAGCCCACGTTTTTTTCTCTGAGCAAAAATAATATCTGTGGATTATTGTCAACAGGCTACCAAAGTGGTAGTGATTGATTTATGATAGTCGTTAGCAGATGTTGCCGTATGTCAATTGTAAGAATAAATTGTGCGCTAAACGTAATGCAATGGAAGTCATGGTTGTGTCTATCCAACAGAAGACAGTATAAATGTGGCTGTGATGTGCATACAGATTTTTTGTGTACTTTTCTTTGCTGACTTTGTAGAAGAAAGCAGAGGGAAATGAGCCCTCCACATTGCGCTACTTTTTTAACCAAACCACTGGAGAGTGCGAAAAGTTCTTTTTCAGCGGATCGATTCCCCAGGGAAATAACTTTGCCAACGAGGCCACCTGTCATAGTGTCTGTATCGCATCACCCAACCTCCTGCCTATCTCTGTGAAGATAAACAAAATGGCTGTTTCCATGGCCCGCCTTGCCACGAAGTTAGACCATGTGGCGTTAAGCCCAGTCTTACCAAGGGGTAGGTCTTTTGCCACTAGTTATTTTTGTAGTAAAGACATCGTTTAACTCAAGCAGTCAACTTGACATAGTCGATCTTAAAGTCCTGGATGGCAATAGCACTGCGTTGAGTTGTTTGCATATGTGAAAATACAGCGGAGAGATCAGAGGTTACACTCTTTTGCGTAAATAAGCCACTTTTGACGGCCAAAGAGACCAGTAATAAATTATCCTGCCTATACACAGAATGAACCAATTTGATTACCAGTGGGCAAAAGAATAGGCTTCAACCTCGGAATGGAACTACCGGCAAAAAATGAGTAAAAGAGTAAAGAGTAAAATTGGGACTAATTCATTGAAATTATATTTGTACTTAGTTTGACTTTCGACTAAAACGACTAATAGATTCGTCTTCGAATTTATAGGCACATATTTTGAATTTCGGTGTCAGCGATTTAAACGATTTGGACTTAAAGTTAATCAACAAACCAAATTTTTGGGATTCTGCTAGCCTTTATCTCTTAGTAGTTTAATAACCTTGCTAACTGAAAACGGATTGTTTATATTGTTTCTAAGGTTACATAGATCAAAAGAGGACCAATCGCTAACCGGTTTATTACACGTTTGCATCATTTTTTCGCTTTGAATAGTGGCAATTTTAGTCATTATATTATCTTTTGGCACAATCGGTGATTGATTCTAAGAACTGTGCATTTTTAACTTCTTAAAAATCTGCTATTACAGACACTAAATACCAAACGTGTTATGGTTTTTTCGCCTCATAACATCTCATGGTGCAGTCACTTGGATCTATGATCAAACGTACTAACCAAGTCCATGGTTTTCAGAAGTATGTTGAAAACTTTATTAGGCATTCTTCGCATCAGTTTGTTTCAAAACAAACCACAAGAGCAGATTCACACATTTTTCATGATTTCCCGGAGCTATTACACACGGAGTAATAGGTAAATAAACCAATCCAAGAACGTTGCCCCACGGAATTTTTTTTGGAAGTGCTGACAACCTTTACTTTAAAAAGTAAATAAGTGTCATTTTGTCCTGCTTTTGCGTCCACTGAAGAGCCGAGAGATAGTTGATTTAACATTTGCCTTAATCTAATAAATTTTTTTCAAACTGACTAAGTTTATAATGGAGCGGTATTTCCACCCTTCTTTAAGAAAAAATATCTTTGTTTACTTGTAGGTCATAAGTCGACCTGTCTCTCTTCAGCACAGTTGCTAAATATCCTCAAGAACGAGACCATCCAGAATTGCCATCCTGGTGGAACAGTGACGGAGCTGGCCTACGCTTACGACGCCGCCTCCGTCACGTGTTTCCCCACGATGATTTACGTGTGTCTGGACTACCCCAACGAGCCCTACCGCATCAAGATTTTGGGTCGATCGCTCATTTTCGAGAGCCAGGCACATTGCGAAAGTGAATGCCTTCGCTCTGAAAGATGAACCGTAAAGACCATTACAAGATCTAACGCCTTCTTGCTGGTCACTTATTTAGTTCTCGATTTTGTTAACAATCTCAAATTTTACTTTAACCCAACTCCTCCCCACATGTTTCTTTTTTCGTCTTGTCACATGCGCATTTAAAATATTATTCTCCATCTTAAGTATAAACATATATGCACAAGAATATCGGTTATGCTAAGTAGTTAAATGAACCCCTAGAGTCCAAAAATTCATCCACCTCAATCTACAAGGTCAAGTTTTATGGTATTACTGTGCTTGTGCTTCACCCACTTCTCTAACCGACAGTGTTTAGGGTGACAGCGAAATTTTGTTCCTCTATGAAACGTGAGGAACGGATTATTTTGCGCTGTCTTAGACAAATGGACTTATTTTTTGTTTTATAGAAAATATGCATTCATTTATAAATGACTTTAATAAATGTGGCTGCGTTTTCTTATTCTAAATTAAAGCTCTGCAAATGCAATCTAATGAGCATTCTCGCAATGGATGTCAAAAGTTCTAGTAGAACGCATTAGGATGAAATATTGTCTATCCAAGTGGGAGATTATAAACACGTTGTGATTGGTGTTATCTTTTAAACATAGAAGACTTTCAAGGACTTTCGCGCTTAGATTTTTATGACAAAAGATAGATAGTTTTAAACTTTTGGACTTCAGTATTAACCCCTGCTAAGTAATTTGTATAATAAGTTTAGGATTAGAGCTGTCACTGAGAAAATGATGACTCTGGGAACTAGAAATATCACAACGGAGTATAGCATTCGAACGTACTCTTTGGAGGGGAGGTCTACTAAGACCGCAGTTTAATTTATATTCATGTTCTCAAGGTGAAATAATGCATTCGCAAGGTTTTGTTTTGGAAAAATGAATAAACACTCCTTTGAGTTTTCAGAAGACGATGATATTTGAGGAAATCGAGGGGAGGCTGTGTGCAGTTTTGGGTCTATCTACGCCCTAGTTCGTGACAACCATAAGCAAATGGCAGGGAAGGATACAATTAAATGCTTAAAGGATGTTGTTTACCACCGTAAATCCAACCTTTGTGCGGCAATCATTTATGCTCGTGTAGACAAGTTACACAGACTAGCTTGAAATATAACGCTGGCTATTTGAATGATAGCTACACCGGTTAATGTAAAAGGTGATTTTACTGTTTCCTTCATTTCTAATCATGTATGCATGAAAATCTTGGCATTTTTCAAAAGGAACTGCATTCAATAGTGGCGTTGGACAGCCTTCAAATATTCTATGAAAAAGCAGAAGTCTACAGAACACAATGTTATTTTTCCCATAGTGCTATTAATATTGGTAATGATAAGGTTAAATCTTTGCCAGGGAACCATAAATTTGACCATTTGGCTACCATTTAAACAGGCGAGAGGTTTGTTTGGTGCACAAATTCTTGCAATTTTAATTGTGTTTAGATTGCACAACATAAATACGGAAGGTGGGATCAGGACAGTGAGTGTCTTCTGACCACCAGGCAGCCGTGGACGAGACCATGATTAGATCGTTTATCCACCTCCACCCTACTACAAATTTTTCATTTAGGGTTTACGCTAATCCCTCTGTGTGCGTGTGAGTGTGTGCACTCTGTGACCGTCGCCGTGTTTATTCGGCTGAAGCGAATTTGGAGGTGGAGGAGAGAGCTTTGGTTATTGTCTCACGGACCAGCACGCTTTACCTGTCCAACAGTACTCCTGTTTATTAGACAGGCTAGTGTCCGAGCAACACCCAATTTTTTCTTCAAAATGAGTCCTTCCACCCTCTCAAATGAATACATATTACGTCATTTAATTGGTACGCTATTTATTATTTGACTTGCAAGTGCTAAAACACTTAAGTGTCAAGAGATCCACAAATTTTCCTAAAAAGTGTTTAGGCTGAAGGAAATGATATATCCTTAACCACATTTTATTTTTGCTGAGTGCATTTCTACACTCAAAATTGATAATGAAATCCTTAACTACTTTGCCTTGTCCCCTTAAGTGACAATACCTTCAATTTACTTTTTCAAATAACTAATGATACAATGATCAACTTTGACTCCTTCATTTTATGCAGTGGCTAGGGTGATGAGGATTTATATTAAAGAGATTTTTTTGATCCATTGAGGACATTACGATGATGGTCGTCTGTGCCGAACACGGATTTGCATCTCCAGCATATGGGATTCATGGTTAGGGTTTACGGTCAAGGAAGATTCAAATCAAATATTTCTGTCAAAATCATTAAATTGACCTGGCTATAGATGTTCACTGAGCAGTTTTCAGGTCCATATCTATCACGGATTTAGTGTAAGAATTCGTTTCCTTGGCTATTGTGCTGCCAAAATCCATGTTTGTGTAGTTTTGATTTCTACCGTGAATTTATCAAGAAAGATTATTTGTAAGTTTAACCGAGTTGTTTCAAGTTAATTACGAAACATTCCATGAAATTCGGCTTCGTTTTCTACAACCAGAAATAAGTTATAGAAAATCATAATAATGGGGCAAATGCAGCTGTCGTGTTTGATACCTGCAATATTTGTGGAAGGGAGCAAAAAACTATGTAACATTTATCTTTAAAATTACAAAGTAACTGATGTTGCTGCGTTCGATTTTAAGTATTTTAAGATGGATGTAATTAATCTTCTAGTTTCACCAAATCTCTTTTGGTTATTTGTGCGCAATACTTTATTAGTTTAACTCTCCACCGTGGTTGTGCGGGCACATAATCCTCCACCTTCATACTTCTGCTTAAAGTAATGGCCTCCGTCCCACGCCAGTAGCTCTCCAGCCCTTCTGTACGTCAGAAATCCGTGTTCTGCTCTGGCATCAAGACTTCTTTCTTCATCAGGGAAGACTCTAGATGCTACATTGGTGACAGCGGGAAGCAAACACAATCTCAAAGGAAACCTACCCAGATTCCCATTCATAAGTGTTTAAACCATAACGTAGCGGAAGAAGAACATATGCTACAGATGCAAGAATTAGTGTCTATCTCCAACTGAAGGGCATAAAATAACGTTTGCCTGCAGCAATTACCACAGTCCCGTGTTCTGCAGGAAAGGTATTAGCAACCGTTACGGAGCTGTCCACGGTACCCGTGTGAGGATGCCAATTAAGCGAATACGTGGTACCCTTTCCACCTCTCTACTACCTGAATAGGGTCCAAGCAGATGTGACGGACTAGCACTGAAATGAGAATGAAGTGGCAAAAGGAAACAATTGCAAAGCCTTATTCCCACTAAACCATATTGAATTTTGACCTTTGTTAAATATCTCTACCTTTGGGCCAGTGTTTTTACGACTAGCAATGGACATACTAGATGACCACCGCATCCCCTGCCCCCAGTACAGTTCCCCTACAGGATAAAACTGCAGATCCAGTAAAGTCGCTGAGATGGATCGGTGACTATACAGTCAGATACCTTCTCAGTTGTACGCAAATTCGACGAATGGTGCGGTTGGCTCGTAGGTGCAATTCTTGCAGTATCGACTACGTTGTGGTGATATAAGCGGGAGGTTGACCAAGGAGAGCTCCGACAATGACGGTCAAAGAGAGAGAGGGTTGTGTAACGCTTTAGTAATTTTCTTAACTCTTCGTTTGGGTTTCGTGAATGCTTAAGGCCTCACCTTTGTACAGTTGCTAAGTGAAACAGGCTCAGGGCCATGTTAGTAGCCCTTCTGTGCGCCCAAAATGCATATGCTGCATTGGTATTATAATTTTTTTCGTGTTCAGAAAGAACTCGAGGTTCTGTATATGTTCACTTTGTAAAATACTTTCTTAGTACTCAGTAAAGCGCTGTTTTTAAACCATGATCTAGTTTAATTCTATACCCATTACTGTTTTAAATCTGACCTTTGGGTTTCACTTTCAAAGCAACCTGGCATCTGTAAGCAGATAACTATTGCTTTGAGAAACTTCGAAAACAGCAACAAAAGGAGAAAAGAGTAGTAAGTTCCAATAGACCATCGCAGTTGGATCCCCAGCCGAATAGACGCATTGTTATTTCAATCAGGAAAGAGAAAGAAGATAAGAAGAAAAAGCTAATGATCAGTAAACGTCACACTATGCAACAGTAGGAGAAATAAGATAATTTTTCCTTGGACCGAGGTGTGTTGTTAAAGGATAGAAAATGAGAGTCATAGTCGATGAGGCCATGTGGCCGAGAGGAGTTTAAAGTGTTTCCATCGTCCGCCACTTTATTCCTGTGGTTAGTTCATCTAAAGTTAGAAAACCCCTCTCTTTAATTACGGAAAAAGCGACAAAATTTGCTCGATTTTTTGATAGACAATGGTCTTGTCTATTATTAAAAACACATTTTTGAATCTATTTACTGTAAAATTGTTGCTGGTGAAAAATCATGAGGGTGAAGTGCTAACCTTTTTAATTTAAAGTATTAATTAAATTATTTACTACTGCTTGTCCTTCGGGTTGTTGATCTTACCCTATCACTCGACTACAAGGCTAGCAGCATTCTTCATTTAACTGTAGGACAGCTAAGACCGTGCGTTTCTTGATTGCCTTTAGTTTTGAGTTCCACTTATAGTAAACAAACTATTTCACCATTCTAAAATCGTAAAAACTCGGACATAAATATGAAATAAGTGAAATCAAAGGAAGTTCTTACCCTGTTAGACTTTCTCAGACCAGTGGTGACCTTGCTGAGGAGTTCCTCAGCAGCGACTACCTCAGGAGAGCGGAAGGTCTTAGCGCGTAACTCCGAGCTCTGTTCCATGTGGATGATCTGCTCGGGCTTGGGTTTGGCTTTGGAAAAGGCCTTGCTCAACTCTTCAGTGCGCTGCACGTGCTTCAACTGAGCCTGTCGTCTGAAGGGATTCTCGGGCATCACGTGTTTCAGATCAGGCAGTTTATAGTCCGCCGGGTGCACTATTAACTCCGTGTTTGCCTCTACAGTGCCCTGGCTGTTGGCACCACGCACTCGGATTTCGTGCTGACCAAGATTAATTTCTGTCTTGTTTATCTCCAGCACACTGATACCTCCATCACTCAGCACCTTGATCAACGAGTCCTATCAATTGAAAAGAAAGGGGAATTTTGCATTGAAAGCACTTCCTATTAAGCAACAAGGAAAGGAGGTTGTAAGACTTACCTGGTGGACACTTTGTCCATCGATAAACCACTCAATTTCAGGCGTGGGATAACCACTCATGCGGACTAAAAAGCGAACTGGTGAACCAAGAATAACCTCCGCTGGTTTTGGCTCTACGTCGATAGTTGGACTGGCGGGTGTCTGCTCCTCATCCGCATACCTCATGGAACTGTCATAACTAGAATGATAGGAGTACATGGAAAATAAGGTTCACTTTTTAGATGCTTGATTATAAGTATTTGTTCATTGTATTCGACTTAAGTCATTTATGGATCTCAGACAGTCATAGCACCGATTACAGCGCTTAAGAGTCTCGAAAGTTTGGCATAAGTAAAAGACATACGTAAGGGTATCCGATTCAGTAGGCACTTGTGGCAAGGCTGTACATTCATGACCTCAAGATGATACACAGAAATTAGATAATTATGCAGCCTGTAACAGAGTCTGTATTTACCTCGCTAAGCTAAACATCACTGAACCGACTGAAATAAATTATTAAGCAAGCGAATACACAATAAATGCCTGGATTTTCTTTTCTGATTGTTTAAGTGCTTTACGACAGATTGCTTTCGTACTATTACAAAAGAGAAATTTTTCATTCATGGTTTTTGATTATCTTGCCTCGTGATATCACGTTTGGGTGGAAATATCCTAGAACACAAAACAACCAGGATTAACACTAACAAGCATCAAAAAATACATTTTTTTAACAATCTAATGTAGTATGAAATTGTCTTGGGATTAAATTGGTAGTATCTTCGTTGCTGGGAAAGATACCTTGAAAATGCCAACCTCAGCTCATGGTTTAAAGCATAGTTTTATAGATGTAAAATACCTTAACTTAAACAAAAAAAGTGTTCTGAGATGTGATATGCTACTTTAAGGTTGAGATAGCAATAAAGCAAAGCATGCTTGTCAATTTGTTTAGAAAATTGAGGATGCCGACAAGCCAAACTGGTTCTATTGATACTAGGTGGCTCAGCCACGTGTAAAAATAATTATTCTAGACAAGCAAATTAATTAATTTTCTAACCAGTTTTTGCTGGTTTCTACTCATTATAATGATCGTGCTACTGTAAAACTTGCCTCAGAAGGATACCACGTAATTGAAAAGAATGTACTTTAAGAATAACTTGTTGTTTTCTCTTATTGCTAAAGTTTTCGAGCTAAGCCTTCCATGTGAATTCCTCCGAACTCTTTAAATAGAGGGTTTGAAACCTACGCGTCATTTCCATGCTCAATAGCCTGAATGAGCTTGAATCCCTCAGAACCCTCGAGAAGGTTGCTCTGGGTGATGATGGCGGCGCTGGGAGAGCATTGCAGATCCAGATGGTCACTCTCAGTCGTGCCTGCTGAGTTTGCGATTTTGCAAGAGTAAGTCCCACTGTCCTCAGGAATGGTGTGGCGAATCAGCAGACTCGCAATACCACGCTCGTATTCCATTTGGAACCGCGTGCCATTTGTCAGTGGCTCACCGTCTTTGCACCTATGATGTAGATACAGAAGAAGTGTTTCTACTAAACAAGCGTTAAGTAGAACTTTACTTAACCGCTCGCATACTTGCTTACCAATGGACAACAAGGTTGGGATCATTAGAGGGCTCGTACTGAAGACGAAAGCTCACTGGCTCGTCTTCAGCACAGTTGCCCACGGGTTTGGGCTGAACAACGATTGTGGGAGCAGCAGCAGGTCCATCTTCTTGGAAATTGTCGGGTCGAGGAGCATTCAGCATCGCCTCCAGATCCTGAACGGCCTGCAAACCTGTGCGACCATTACGTGTTCTGGTTATTAAATATCTCAGGTTGTTTGGGAGTGCATTTACTTGCATTAGTGCAAATTCCTGTTAAAGTAAATGCTAGAATATAGACCCTGAATAGTTAGTCACATTAGACAGAGATTGTTACAGTTAACATCTCTAGTGTATCTATAAGAAAATGACTGTAATTTGGCTTAATAACACTTTTCAAGTTTAGCACAATATATTTTATTTCTAAAAAAGTTCTTTGTAACTTAATCAAATACCAAATATCTTCAGCTACGAAGACATATGACTTTGGGATCCCAGTCAAAACGAGATGGACTTTGTGGTTAACAAAAGTCTTAAAACACGGTTAATCCACTGCCATAATTAAGTAAAGATATTTAGGAGTAGTGAATACTACCATACTTGTACGAGCTGTGTCCAGCTTGCTCCCGGCTTCTGATATCCGAATCCTTGAAAGAGTTTTTGCTCAAAAGCATTTGTTTGAAATTTGCAACTTCCAAACACCTCTCTTGTAAGTTCTATACAGATATTCAAGTCAACTATTTGTTGGTATAAGGTAAATAAATGATAGTGTATAGTAAAAATACGATATTTTTGCCTTCTTAGACAAAGAAAATCAGCGAAAAGAGATACACGCACAAGCGTAAACATAATTCAAAGGTATGTAATTCAGGCATGAACAATTATAACAGAATCCTAGAAATATTCGACGAATACATTGCCCATATTTTTATTTAAAGGGCCAACTACTTTAATTTGATGATTAGATGGAGGTGAAATCATGTGACGTGTTTGCATGGGAACGTTATTTGAAATTTATTAATACCTTTTCAATTTATGAAAATATGTTAACAGGGCAGTGCATTGCAACTTTCTCCAATAAAAGTTTTATTGCTGAACTGGTAGCATAAAAAAGTAGCAAAGTTAAAGTTAGGCTTTTTAAAATGCCTAGCTAAATATTAAGTATCAGCTACAGTCTAAAATAGATGGCCTACTGGACGCATACCTTTCGGTTCCTTTAACTGAGTATCCGTGATGAGATTCTTCGTGGTCTCAACAACGAGCTCGGCAGACTGGGTTTCCGCTCTCCCGTGTTCCGTGGTAACACAGCACACGTACTCTCCCATGTCTGAAGGGAGCACGTACTTGAAGCTCAGACTAGCCATACCCATCTCCAACTTGCCGTTGATGCGGGAACCTGCAACGAAGCTGCAGTATGCTTACTGAGAAAACAGGGATAGAGGCTTTGTTTGAGCAAAAGCTGCGTTACCGAAGTGAACGGGTTCGCCATTTTGCAACCAAACAAAGTCGACCTTGGTACCGTTGCCAGTGTCCACGGGCACCTCGAAGTAGGCGTCCAATGTCTCAACGGTAGTCAGTGTCGGTGGTACAATCGGCCCTGTGAACTTCGGAGGGATGGGGTCAGGCACGTGCTCGACAAAGCTTAAAGGGCAATGATTTGCATGAGGGCTGCGTAAAAGAAAATTTTTTGAAGTAAATTAAAATTTATTGTTGGAGTCGCAGAAATGTCAGGACTGTTGTATTTCTAATAGCCAATAATTGGGGCATTTTTTGACTAAAGGGTAGATGCGTGATTCTTTAAGACAAGAAGTTGTTTTTGGGTTGTTGATTTATGTGTATTATTTAATTCTTTCAAAAGCACCTGCTTTTTACTATTTATTCTGATGTTGCTCATGCATGACTCTTTCGTAACTCCGTTTTCGGGTCTTCGTCGCATGTTCATGAAAAGTAGTTGTCGATACAGGCAAAAGAACAAACCCATGTGAGCCTTCGTTGCAACAAAATAAAGCTCTTACATCTGTACCAAATATAATTTAAAATTAGTTATTCTTTTCCTCCAAATGCTATTATTTCAAATTGTAGAAGGTTAAATTATGGGGGCCAATTTCAAATTACTCTTTTTGATAAAGTGGTGGAATTGTATACATGCACTAAAATGCGCTAAAAGTGATAATAAAATTATGCATTCCGAATGGATGATTGCACAGTACAAGGAAAATTGCAGGACACCGAAAGAACAGATAAAAGCTTTCTGCGGAAATGCACTTCTCGCAAACGTGTGGTCACTTCAAGCTCATTGTTATCGCTCCTTCTCTTACCCGGAAGCATTGGCAGATATCACATTTTTAATGAGGAATGGAACATCACAATGCTGGTGCCAATACCAAAGGACATACATCTTACATCGGAAGCATCAATAACAATTTTTTGTTTTGTCTGTGAACATGAAGAAGGAGTTACTTGAAATGTTTTACATCTCTAATTCAAGTAGCAGGCATTACTACAGAATTCTTCATCAAAAAATGAGAATTGGTAGATAAATCTAATTTATTTAACGAATTGTGCCCAAAGGTTCCATATCATAATTAAACTCAAGAATGTCAATTGCCTGTAAAGCATTCATGCTTTAATATCAAAACTTTGATTTAGCCTCGGGTGAACCACCCACTAGTTTACCAAAAAAATAATCTTACTTTTGGTGGAGCTAGCTTCAATAGCTTAAAACTTGCAGATGATTGTGAAATATTATAGTTTGTTTAAATTAAGAAGCTCGGATTATTGGCAGCCTATCGGCATCATTCAGTGTGTTTTACTTTATTTTGCTGTTACTTTGATCCGTTATCAGATGTCATTTAGACTTGACGTGATTTGAGCTTACCAACATTACACGCCGAGTATAACTCTGTTCCAAGATCGCACTTATATAATTGATTCTAGAGCATTTAGAGGAAGTCCAGTAGCCGAATGTGCTACCCTGAAATGCTATAAGTGAAGCGTAATTTTTTGGATTAGGAATCACTTAATGATGCATCACGTTCAGCAAGACCTACTTCTGATACTGAATGAATGAATGAATTTTGGTTAACGTTGGCCTTAGTGACAAAACAATCCATTTGGATCTACATCGACCGAGAAGGTCGTAAAACCAAAGAGGCCAGACAAACGTGTTTAACATGCATTTATTGACAATAATAAGCTTCAAAGACCACCAATTCGTTCTCCACTTTAACGTTATTAAAGTGCACAGTTTTAGACCACTTGCTGCCATGGCATGAAGTGGCTTTTTTTAATAAATGCTGGTCAAGTAAAAAAAAACAATATGGGTTACTCCCAAACGATTCACCACTCATGACACCCTTCTAGGAAGAGACTGCGATTCACGTGGGAATGCGTGTGGTGGACTAGGAACGGAGTTGGTCACTTGCTAAAGGACAAACGATTGCAGCTGACATCTACTTGATACGACTCAAATACTAGAGTAAACTTTTCCCTCAGAAGCATATAGGACTAATCAACCAGACATAAGAAAGTTCTATTTTACAAAGAGAAACTTCATACTGTCAAAGTTACCCGTAGAAGATTTGTACTTAAGGATAAAAAGGATCAAATGTCACCTCATCCTTTTCATTCCTTTGATACCTTCTAAGTAATCAGCACTTTTCTAAGCATTAAAATTGCCTAAGAAGTGATTGACAGGTAGAAAATGAAATCAAGATGGAAACGGAGGTATGAACGCCTGGGCTATTGTTTCGAGAGACAACGTTTTAGGAAAGTAGAGTTCTGAGGAAGTTTATTTAAAAATCAAGTAATTCCAGTCTTTAAATATAGTTTTAATTTTTAGTCATGGGTACCGCGTAAGTCTATGTGGTTATTCTGTCCAAATTTTAGTGTCCAGTACAGGTTCGAAGGTCTAGTCTGCTATAAAATTAACGGAGTCAGAGTATCATCATTCTGGATCGTCATTGTTAACAAACTTTTGGTATTCAGAGTGGAACAAATGATTTTGTACATCCATCAAAATGTAAGTCAACATGGGGGTAGATGTGTTCGATTCGCTAAGGTGAAGTGGTTTTAACGGCCCGCATCTTTTTTTAGATGATATCTTAGGTTGACAGAAAACAGCACAAAGGAAACGGGAAGTGTGTAATATCTCCTCAGGCAAAGCATTCACTGTTCTTTCACATTGGACCCCACACTACTGTCCGCCTCTTTATGTAATGTCCACCTACAAATGAGTTTCAAAGAATATGCGGCAAAGGCGGGTCAAAGCAATGCTGTAAAAAGGACTTACTCGCCAAACTCGGCTTCAGGATGATCCAACTGCTTCAGGTGATTGATAGAACTCTCCGTAAGGTTGGAGTTGGTCACAATTCGAGCACCAGCCTCACATCTGTTCACAAAGGATTATGATAATTAATGGCTTCTCGCACACCCAAGTATTCTTAATTTCTATTTATTAAGATGGGATTTAGCCAATACGATTTCTGATTGCCTGATTCATTGAAAAATAATACTTTACTTGAATAAGAAGATAATGCCTCATACCTGAAAGCCAATTCTTTTGAGTAAACTTACGTCTCTTTCTTTATATAAATTTATGTCTATTCCATATCTAGCTTCTTAATATACATCTTATTAAATCAAATGGACGAGGTTCCAAAGATTACTTCGCATTGCCCAAAAGAACGCTATATTTTTAGCAAAGTACTACTCAAACTGCGTACTCCTGAACAGTTGAACTACTTTACTGTGGGTTTTTGTTACTAGTTGTTTCTTTATAAGCACCTTTTGGGGCACTTTTATTATCCAAACCGATCTGCTGTCTTTAAGATTTTATAAATGTGTCTGGTCACTAAGATCTGTGAGAAAACTCGTTTTGTATACATTATTAGGAAGATAAAATTTACTGAGTCAAATTATTAACGATCTATTCCCTTCGATAGTTTAGGCGTAAACGAGCTGTCCACGGGATATGGTAGTGTGCATCAAAACTTTTCAATCGGAAAAATGAATTTACTTAATCCAAATCTTACACATTCATGGGTGTGTTAGGGAATGCTCCACACTTGCTTGCACTTTTGCGGTTTTGAGCAACGATACACAGAATTTAACTATAAGTAAGACTAAAAAAAGGTATGATGCTTCTCTGATAGGCTGAACATAACCGTGAAATGAAATGACTTATTTAGCATATTTTTTATGAAAATTTAAGAATTTGAAAATACTATCACGAATCGATAGTTGACACAGAAGTGAAGATAAGGTCCCGGCTCAAACTACCATAGCGTTGTAGCCGAAATTTTTAGAAATCCGTGATGAATTTCACAATTGTATTTAATTTCTTGATTTGGTATGTCTAATCAAAATTTCCACTCACATCTTGCGCTAGTGAATTCTAAAGTGCTTTTGAAATATGAAGCAGCTGTGCTTTTCTAGACGGTGTGAAAAATTCATTAAGTCATTCCTAAAAACAAATTCCTTAAAATAAGGCCGCTGTTACACATAGGAAGCGGTCATTTTGCCGACATGAAGCCCTTTCCATCTATGTTCTATGAAATTTTTTAGCAATGTCACGATAAAGCCCGTAATGCTTCAACAAATTTGCATTTACGAGTCGTCCATGACCAACTCTTCACGCTTCATGCGTACGTGCTTCAAAACGCGTCATTGTTTTTGCCTCCTCCCACCCCACCCTACAACTGTGACCCCTCGCATCTGCATCGCTGGTCCCTCTAATACCCTTCCCCTTTCTCCTTTTTTCCGCCTTCCGTCTAAACAAGTCTCGGCTACTGTCGAAGCACATTTACTTGTTCATGCACGCACGCATGAGATGCGCAAGCGACTAACCAATAAAAAAACACGATTATCGCTCTATTGGAGCCAATAAGATTCGCGCAGCCATAATAATTGGCTTTTAGCTTGCGAAAGTTGCGGTCAAAAATACTGCAGAAAAATTAAACTGTGAAAAGTGGAATGCAGACTATGAGACCGTCGAAATGGTTTCAATTGGATTTATATATTTATTTTATTTCCACATGTAATAACAGGAGCACTTCAGTTTCCACAGTTTAGTTATCATGCCATTGTAATGATGACCTTTCACTGCAATTCACGCTGACAATTTCCCAACTCCTCTGTAAGTACAGAATAGATCTGGTCTAAGATTGATATGCTTCAATACGCCTTCAGAAATGCCCTAGGAGCTATAATATAAAAATATTTCACTTTGCTAATATTTTCTCATTAATAGTAGTCGACATTGTCAGAGTTTGCATTACAATATTTGTCAATGTAGGAAATCTTTTATTTTCACAGGGAGTAACTACTCTAATCCAAATCATTACTAAATTGTGTAAGCTAAGCAATTATAGTTCATGGTACCTATGAAAATTGCTATCTTGAGCATCCAGTAGTTTAGCAGTTCTTGGAATATACTTGCAAGGAGATGTGAGTGATTGATGGTCTTCAAATTGCAGGCTTAGTGTTTTCATTAGCAATATATAGGAATTCTGCGTTCTAAGTATGGCTGTTGTGAAGATGGCTGTTAATTCATAAACTGTTGAATAACCTGCTCGTTTTAATTTTTTGTAGGAATATAGGAATTAACTTACGTGAGGGAAATGGGTGAGCTCTCGACACGACCAGCTTTGTTGGAAGCAACGCAGACATAGGAGCCGCTGTCCTCAGGGTAGCAGTAAGCAATATCTAGCACAACCATGCCACGATCGAACATGCTGCTGAAGCGACTCCCTGCATAGGGGTAATAAAACCAGAACCCATCATAAAATATCTGAATCCAGAGTACCATTTATAACAACATGAATAACGCAGAGTATACACACTGTCAACGTTGGATCCACTACAGTTTTCAAAACTAAGAAATAGTTTACTTAACTAAAACGTGAGAGTTTTAAAAGAATTAAGGAGTAATTGTCAAAGCGCGAAATTAATGGGGAACGTAGTTTATACCGAATAGCTTTCTGGTATACATCGTAGATCATCTAAAGATACTAAATATCTGTTCCCCACTAGCAAACAGCCATCAAATATTGACGACTAAGTTTGCAATTTGGTATGGCCAAAGAGTAATATTTAGGATGCAAGAAGTTCGCACACTGGCACGAAGTTAATCACTTTCCCCAAGGCATCCACTGGCTTCTAGTTTTTATTAATTCCACGCCATCGGAATCTTAAAATTTCTATTTAAGTGCACATGCAAACACTTCTTCCATTTGATAGTGAGCTTCAATAATGCTGAAGCAAATATGCTAACGAAGATCAGTGGAATGCACATTAGCTGTCAGGTAATAGAATCCAAGTGTTTCGAGATGCTACCGGTTTTTTTTTTAAGTTTTTTTCTGTCAAACACAGGATTTCATTTAACTTGCTGTCCACAGGCTTGAAAAGGTCGCCCCATGGGATGACTCATGCCCGTGTCTCCTGATCACTTATATTCGGACATGTTGGCACTGCGTGGAATTCCAACCGGCCTGGCCGGACACAGCAGGAATAGCAAATATGGTGACTCAACTGTCGAAGCAGCAAAAGAGCAATGAATAACCCTTCTTCCTCTGATAGAAGATTTGTTTATAGAAATGGCTAAATTCTGCCCCAATCCTCCCCAATACACCATGCAAAAGCCTCCTGGGTGCATAAAATTATTGACTTCATGCACTTACCGAAAGTTTGTTTACATTTGGAGATGATTACCGCTAAGCGCGATGTATTTTATGACAAATTCGTTAAGTCTTAAAGGATTTTTACTGAATATTTTGTATCAACCAGGATTTGACAGCTTAAGTGAAACGTTTTTAAAAAAAAATAGAGGAAGTTTACTAGCCACTCCAAAAATCGCTTATTATTCGCAATAGTTGGACACTACTCCACTATTTTTAAAGCAGACACATAGTTTCATTCTCTTAAAAATTCGTTTGAACGAAGTAAACAGAACTGTATACGATTATATACTAACCAAGGAATTTCTCAAACAGTCGTGAGATAGAGAATTGGGAACTGAGGAGCAAATTGGCTTGAAAAACATTTGCTTTCTGGTTATTAATACAGCATTATTACGTTACTGCCTGCCGATATTGATGAGGAGGTGTTTACACTATTTTGGTGAACTTACTTTTGCAAAACCCAAGTTGAATTCTAAACATATGTGATGAACACAATGCTTTAACGAAAATCCATAAGTATCTACATGATTTCAAATTGTAGTCATTGTAACTGGCTTAAATGTTGAGCAATAATGACAAGTCTACAACGAAAATAGCCACGTTATAAGAAATGGAAACTTGAGTACAAATGGCCTAGCATATCAAGGTTCACAAAACTCCAGTAGCAACAGCGTAATTTTATAAAGTAAACGGTTGCGCATGTAGGTAAAGCACTCTTGTCTAGTAGAATCATTTATTATAAATGTGTTCTCCGAATGTGCGCTAAATAGATGACCCCAATACCTACCGGAGGTGAATGCATTTCTTCAGCCTTGCCAGATTTTCCATCAAGCTGATTCTGGTCAAAAAATTAACATTCGATCCGAATTGCCCAATTCACTTCCCTAAATGCTGCTTGTGCCGAAATAGTCCACTTTAAAAGCCCAATTACCTACTCTTTCAAAAGCCAGGAAACTAACAGTTATATGCAGCGGTAAAATATGGAACGCTAAAATATTTAAATTGGCCCAATATCCCTAAACAAAGTAGTTTCTTCTCTCAGAGTGTCTTAAGATACTGATTTTCTCGTAGAGTGAGTTAATGCACTAGAAGCGTTTGCATGAAGAGCGAGTTACACATGAGGTCGTTGGCTTACCGATGACAATAGGCTCTCCGTTCCTGAACCACTCAACCTGGAGGGTAGAGTCTTTGGCCGGGGCAACCTCGCCAATAAAACGCAAATGCTCGCCTTCGGCCACAGCTGGGTTGTTGCAGGAGATAGGTTGCCTAAAGCTTGGTGGCTCCATTTGTACCGCGTCGTGCTCGGCGCCTCTATCGAGGCTGGACATTGTCTCATAGGCATGGTTTTGCATCTCAACTGTCTCGTACTCTTGCTTCTCCTCAGCTATCACGCTAGTAAATGTGATTTTCAAAGCTCGCTTTAAGAAGACTGAGGGACTTGCCCGGACTTGTTATCAATTAAATACTAATAAAGACTAATAAGAGTAAGGTGGGAAAGTATGTGCCTAGTTTTCCTATCGGTTTATTACAGGTAGTTGGACCGAATCATGTAGCAAAGGGATATGCCTAGTTTGACGTGCTAAATTAGATGCAACCTGTCTATGGTCTTTGGCCTATTGCATTTCTAGTTTTGGAATATCGTGACCGTAACCAATAAGTTAATGATGACTAAAACAATAGGACACCAAGGCTGTGATAATGGAACTTATTAGCGAAGGAGTTGGACATCATAAATACCATATTGACTAATGTTCTGTGAAAGCGTGTATTTAGTCTGCACGAAGGTTGATGCACTGCTAAAACCGAATGATAGAGACTTCGTTTGAGTCCATGAAACTCTAGGTTAAAACCAAGCGCGGTAAAAAGGGAGAGAAGTGAAAGAACATCTAAAGCATGCTGAGAAGCAGTAGGGCATATTTGTATTGCATCCAAGAATCAGTCAACAACAACGTCAGAAATGCGGTTTACCGAATAAGTGCATCCAAATCTTTTCGATAATGTCATGCTACACCTGGGACTTTGAAGAAATCATAATTAAAATTTAGTGGGAATAAACTAAAGTGACTTTAGCAGCCCGTGGCTACACGTGTACAAGGTGAGCTCCAATATTCACAAAGTACAAAATCAAAACATATTTTGTCCAGTCGGTTACAAAATATCCATCATTGCTTATTGTTCAGTGACGTTTTACCGAAGGCGGATGCCAAATATTTGTCAGGCATATAAAAGGATCATAAAGTCTCTCTTAGATAATACTCCAACACGTTTGAACCCAAAGATAAAGGATATGCGTGATTTAAACACACCCTAGCTACCTTGCGCATTAGGACTCTTACGGGCACCCCAAATCAGCAGCTATTTAGAGCAGGCGAAGACTCACCTAATTCGAACAGGATTTGCTTGAACATCGCCAGAACGATTCCTCACCACAACCGAATACAAGCCAGTGTCCTCGGGGTAAGTATATTCAATGTCCAAGCAGGCATAGCCGCGGTCAAATGCATCATGCATTCTGGAACCTAAAAACGAAAATACAATTGAAAGTAGAAAATTGCCAATAAAGTTAACGGGGACATTTTGATGCTATTTGAGGAATAAGGGAGTGGACTGAAATATCTGTGCACCTCTTACAGGCAATGCACAGAGGAATTCGTTGTCCAATATTGTCCTAAAGTAAAACCAAACATTTACACATCCTGCGCTTTTCACTTTTCAGCCATATTATTGCGCAGAGTAATATGGACATATTGTCATACTTCAAGCAAGTACTGCACAAGTAAGGCAGAAGCAACTGAAAGGTTCGGAATAAAATCAGTGTTCACCTAGGCACTCATGTTTCAGAAAGGATAGTAAAGACTCCTGTGAGTTCATATTTAAGGGAAAACGATTATATAAGTCTGCTTACATTAAACTGACTGATCAATTCTAAAATTTCATTATCTGAACGCAAAAAGAGTTATTGTATTTTAGGAAGGACCTAAATATTCATTTATCAACTCAAATTAGACAATTTTTCAGCAGTATGGTTTCATTCTTGATGTTACTGGTTTTCAAATGTACAATGCAAAAAAAGTATCACACTCATTAAACGCAACTACCTAATGCCTAAAAAGAAATTGCCAGCAATCGTGATTTAGGCGAATGTTTGACAATTAGACACATCTCAACGAAGACACTACATGGTAATTACAGATAATATGGTGAGTCTTAAATGGTCCTCTTGACACAAGTAGTAGTTTGCGTTACTTTGGGATTCCCAACAGCATAATTATCTTATAGGTATTAGATCGTCTTAGAATATCATGCAGATTTTCTAAAGACAGTCATTTCAAAGTAAGTCTGGTGAGAAAATATCCCACTCACTTAAAAGTTATTTGTATCAAAATGCAAAAAGGCAGTAGAAAGTGGCGTTTTATTTTCAAAATTGAGACACTTTAAAAATATTATTTTCCGCCTGCTTTTTACCAAGAAATTTCCTAAACCCAAGTACTAATTAACTGGTGGAATTTTTATAAATACCGTCTCATTCACCGCCTTTGCTAGTTTAGTGTACTGATAGCAAACGATTTAGTGACCAAAATAATGTTTGATTTTCTAAGTGGGTCATGAGCAAACAAGAAACTTAGCAACAGAAGATTAAAAGTCTTGTTAATTAATGAATGAAAAACTGAAACAACTTTGGTAATCATCTTAACTAAGATGTGCCAGATAAAATGTTCCGTTGACCTGGCTTTCAGCTGTCCTTGTTTCCATAATCTGCAAAATCAGATACGTTGCGCAAAGGGTTAAAATTCGTGCGCTTATCTGCCAAAAGGGTACTTTACTTCGTGTTTTCATAAGCTTAAAGGAGTGTTTTCCTGGTGCATGAGTGAGAAGTAGTGTTGGTGACTTAGGCGACTTCACAAGCATATTAGCCCGGAAGCCCTATTGCTCTTCTTAATTAATCATGGTATAGCGTGGACGCGGACTAGTTTTTTGTAAGGTTCGCTATAAATTGGATGATGTGGAAAGAAAGGGCAAAAGCTAGGTACGCGAAATGTGTACGCCTAGTATTTCCACCAAAGCCAAGTGCCATCAAAGTTTTAAGACTGCCGTGCAAAAGAAATGTGGTGTAAAATTTATTCGATGAATTGGATAAAATGAATATTGTATGGAACTTCTTGTCGTTATAAGAACAACTGGCTAGTAACATTTAGTGCATTGTAAAAATAATTTAGCTCCTTTTCTGGCACAAAATTTTATTTCAGAAATTCCTTTTATGAAAGGCTAAATTTGCTCCCATTTCATACTAATGAAAGTAGTTCCCAATGGCCTATGGTTTCATCAAAATTACCGGTTGAAACATTTGAGTTTTTTAAAATATTTTTCCCTAAGGCTATCAAAAATTGCCTTTAATCACTTCTAACCTAAAATTTTTAATAAGACTGAGACTGTCTTACCAATGATAGGGGGAAATGGAAATAGTTCGCTTAATTTGAAAAGCTTCATACATACCAGGCAAGATTGGGTTCCCATCCTTGAGCCAAGTGATTTGGACATCCGAATCGGAGGCGACACGAACATCCAAATGGACGGGCTCACCCTCCTGTACAGTAATTTCCCCTTCTAATGCTGAAAGTAAACGGGGAGGATCCCCAACAATCATGCTTCCGAACGTTGAGGCGGTGGAATCAGGCGCTGTGGAGATTGCCGTCGACATCCCTCTAAGGATGCAATTAGCTTTGGTCTCGGGATGTCTGGATGCGCTCGTTGGTGCGTAGGTGGCGTACCATGGCCTTGGCATGGCCAGTGACAGCACACTTTCGCCTGATTGGCTGGACCATGCACCTGGTGTGCGTTCAGGTGCACACGCACACGTGCACTCGCACAGGAAAACGCCTTTCATTCTTTCTCTCCCTCCTCCTATCTACCACCATGATCCTCCCTGCCCCTCCACTCCCCTCTTTCATCGATCTCCACACACACAGATACGCACACACACGCACACACATAGAGATTGCAAACCCTTTATGTGGACTGGTTCTATGTATATGTTTATGTATGTGCACATGGAATGGTTGATACGTCACATAGGAAACAAATGTTGAACCAATGGTTATTTTGCGGAGGCTGTGCCCCTAACCCAGTCTGACAGAGTAAAATGCATTGAATTTTGGATTAGCTATCATAATTGTGATACAGTTTCTATGGTGGTGATGTACCTCTAAAAAATTAACTGTTTGTCAGGGCAGTAATCTAGCCTTATTTACATTAAATAGTCCCAGACTGAAACTCAAATTCATCATAGATTGCTATGACCCGTTCACTTTACTACATGTAAAGTGTTAGAAGGGTAAAAGGATAGTTAATATGCATTTTTTTTGTTGGTTTTGTATCACGGATAGACAAGATAATTTGCCAAGTGACCTACTTAAAATGACTATGGTTGTCTACCAAAAGCATTCTAAAGATCTTCCTAAGTACTACTTTACAATATTTACTACAAATTTGTCTTCAAATAGTAAGTCATGCAGTGGAATTTTTGATTATAATCCTACAATGTTACCAACTTGTGAAAAGTGTGTGGCAATTTTTCTGAACTGACCTTAAAGTATTAAATGTTCCAAAGACGACGTACATTCACTGTCATTAGTTAAGTGATTCTGAAAGCAAAACCAAGACAGCAAGATTTTACCCTGCAGCGCTTTGAAGACTTTAAATTGGCTATGATAATAAAACTTGTGGATTTCTTTGACAGCCAATTAGACAGTTCAAAAGGGAAACTGTAAGAAGCTCCACTCGGGTGGTCAAGATTTTTGTGAGCGATTAAATACCTTCTCTAGGATTATCTAGCTCTTCATGGTTTACGATTCCTGACTATCACACTTCTCTTATTTCCTCTTGGAAGCCGCATTTTTCCAAGGACACGGTCTGTTTACGATCTTTGTACAGAAGGTGGCCACGTGTCTCGGCCCACTATTTCTCTCCTTTCCACCTCGCTTCACCTAACCCCTTTCTCCCTCCCAACCTGCTGTCCGCCTTGGTTCTAATCCGAGGACAATAGAGGCCCAACAACACCATGACAACGAGTTGTAACTATCTCCTCGTGGCATCAAATTCATCGACATTTGGCGGTTTCCGGAGCTACTCTGTGGAACTGCAATAACTTTTTTCCTCTAAACGAAACGGAGACAGGGAGAGTAGGGGCGGGAGGAGGCGCGACTGAAGCACTTATCTCAACCTCAGCATCCCCTCACCAAAATTATTCCCGCCGCAGAAGACAATACAACCCTCGCGGTACTGGCTTACATAGACATGACTAACGAACTAGTCAATCTGGCTAGCAATTGTGATTTAGCCAACGCTCTTCGGCCAGTCGATTTTCTGATACAGTGCGTTTTGATTTGCCTGTAGGTGAACATGTAAGTTGCAATTTAGGCGACAAGCTAAAAAGGGGTGGGAATATTTTGCATCCTCCTACTAGTGGTATTCAACTAGACAATGAAAAATTTGGTTTGTATATATTTGCATCAATTATCAGAAAAAGGTTGAATGAAATACCATAATTCACAATGGTTTTTGGTGGGCAGGATCCAACAGTACCTAATGGATCATAAAAGTGGAACATAAGGCTAATGAAAGAAAAGAGTGGTCAGAAATTCTAAATGGTCTAGATGATACCTGAAAATTATCGCATCCCATTGCATACGTTATATTTGATGAACTACTGTCACTTAGGTTTGGTCACAGCAATGATAAAAGCGAGAGGTTGATGTTGAACTAGCTTCAGTCACTTCATTTTTTCTTCACCAACAACAAATTGAATTTTCATTTAAATCTCCCTAATGAAAGAATCTTAGGTGATTGCGTATTATCATTTTTTCCAAAAAATGCTTGTCTCCTCATAGTTGCTTCAGGCGCCCCCACTGACACTCGCCAAAGTCCTTGCCATTTTGGCTAATTTTAGCAAAAATAGGTGCGATTAGCATCTCTGATATGAAAATTGCTTGCATAAATGATTAATTTCTTTATATATCCTCCATGATAATGAATTATGCAGCAAAATAAGAGGCAAAAGCATTCATTTTGATTGAAAATTTTCCTGTAATTTTCTACAATAGGTCATCAATTATTTTTGTACGTTGGCGCAATGAAACAACTTCACCTTAAATAGCCGGATCCGTCTATGCAATGTCATTATGCTAATCTAGATCTGCAAGTGACTAGAGCCACAAAACAGTGAACAAATAAGTAGAAACCGAAAAATCCACCGTCTGTCGTAACTAACTATTAGAGCTTCAAAAGAAGACAATGTGTGAAGTCGTCGCTTACGGTAGAGATTTACGAAAAATAAATGACACTGGTTTCAGGGCAAGAATTCTTGCAACGGAAATCGTCGCATTGCTGTATTTTGGTCAAATTTTTTGCGTAGGATCACAAAAAATACTTACATATACCTCAAACTAGGTCTTACAAAATGCACTTTCCTGATGCATTTCGTATGATTGTTATTTGAGTAGAAGGAGGGTCGTCAAATCTCTTGTACTTGATAAACTGAACATTTCATAATAATTTTTCCTCTTTATTTCATATGCTTAAGGATTTTAACAGACAAAACCCGTAGATAGCTTAACTGAGAACAATGTAATTAAGGGTAAATCTGGAAATTCGGTGAAAGCATAAATTCAAAACAGGGAAGTTAATGAAACAAAAGCTATTTGTCTAGCAAGATATCACTGAACACAAATTCAGGCTTATATGTTACACCATTGCATAAATTGAGGGGAATAAAGCAATAAAAAGATATTTTGGTCTAACCATGCGTAAATTAAAGAAATTTAACACTTCAAATTCATTTGGGTCATTTTAAAGAACGCCGCTTCAACCCCATAAGATCCTCTAATATCTTATTCTGGATTGAAATCTTATCAATTAAGCAATTTTTAGGCAATGTACTTACTGACTTTAAATGCTGCTTAAAGTGCCTCTGTGTAAATAGCTGTAAAAGTGCATGGAAAAAGTGTAAACTTATGGTATCACCCTTGGCTTTTGGGACAAATTGGTTTGACCTTGGTCCAGTGTCACTTCTGTCAAACTGGAAGTGAAGGAAAAGCTGATTAATGGGCTTGACATGGAGTGAACTGACATTTCATTAAGTTTAAGGCGTTTTTAATTTGTAGTAGCCAATGCACAGTCACCATGATTCCAAGATTTGTCAAAAATACTACTTAACTTTTGCACTCCGTTCATCAATTTTGTAGCTCACCGCAGTCTAAATTGGCTAATTAATTAAAAATGGCTTCGCGCTGGTATACGAAGATAGTAATACGTTGAACAGCTCCAAATATGAACAATAACAATAGATACAGTCCATTCATATTCAAAGCGAAGGATGGAAGGTTTTTTGACTGCAAAAACAAAACTCTCTTATGTATCTAATTTTTTATAGTTACGCATACCAGTGGATTATGATTACATGGTGATACCAGAAGTAATAAATGAGATTGATAGAACGACTATGTACCGAATAAGCAGGGCGATGCAAGGAAGTGTTTTGATCTTAAAGCAGTGCATTCAGTTCCCAGGCTTACATGGTAAAAAGGCATTGGATCCACAATTCTATAGACACATTGAGAGAGCCACTATTTTGCATTTTAGGTTAATATATAGCTAATTGGAGCCAGGTGCATGCTTAAAAGCCTATTTACTTTATCGTTTTGCTAGTCATTCAAAAAAATGTAACCACTGAAGAAAAACTGTGATCGCTCATAACTTCTTTTGCGAGCAGTTTAAGGCGATGCCACCTCTACTTTATGGATGTATTTGAGAAATATGACACTCCAATCATTTAAACTACAGTAAGTTAAGTAAAAAACACTTCCGAATCAATTCACCCCTACGATCAAAACAGAATTTCCTTTGAGTTTTGAATGGAGGCTTAACGTGTTTAGTTTAAATGGCCGTTTAGTCAAGAAATATCGTTTAGGAACCTGATGTGGCCTCAGTTTGACCTTCCAGAATAACAAAATCGACGAAGTCTCCATTAAATATGACGTTACGGCAGGTAATGCTTAACAATCCGCTTTCCACTAATTTGTACTTTAAAAAATTTAAACGATTAGGCTAATTCCAACATCGTTGCATTTCAGTAGTTTTGATGAAAGAATTTTGTGCATAAAGTTTTTCTGATTTCTCTTTGGTGATGGAAGAAGAATATTCTAAGTAACTATTCCACCAAACTTATAAGAAAGGAATCCAATATACAATAAATATAAATGAGTTACTCCAACTCAGTTTAGCAACAGTTCATAGCACCAAGAATAATCTAAATTTTCTTATAAATATTATAAGCATCTCAATGTTCAATCCATCATCTTGCGTTCTCCATTTTAGAACCTTAGACGGTTGCACGGTAAATACCGGCTTTCAGTGAACATCGGTTTCTTAATATTCCGATGCCTGATGAGGAAATTCAAAACGTAACCATAAATTTTCTTCCAGAAAAGCCGCCATTAATCTGTCGGATTTGTTTTTATTTTTATTTTATTTTGCTGGTCTACACTATGGATTCAAAGACCATTATTTTTTCATTCAATGTAATTAATATAGTCGTCTTCTAGACCAGTTACCTGTGTACAAAGTTGATCAAACGCAAAGGGGATGAAGGGTTGGATCAGAAAATCACAAATACGGTTGCTGACATTACAGGTACGTGTGTGGGTGAGTTTGCTTCTGTGTGTGACTATGCCGTTCAAATACACATTGCTTTACAACATAGAAGGATATCTGGAAGTGCGACTTCAGGACTGGAGATCAACAACACTTTCGGGAAAACCGTACTGCGCAAATCTGTTCTCCCGTGCACAGAAACTGCTGTCCTCAAAGAAGCTTTGCAGACCCAAGTCGTTTTGCTGCGGTATTAAACATTCGGATCCGTGGGGATGGAAGTAGGGTGCGGGAGTTAGACACCGTGGGGTGGAGTGACTTATGGTAACCGGATCAGTGCTGCCTAATCGGAGGGTGGAGGCCATGTGACTCATCGAAGGGAGAACTGCCACATCCGGTGACAAGCCTTCGAACGATTCCACTAGTGCTCCATCCCCACCCGCACTTCCACCTCCTTCCGCCAAGTTATATTCGTAGTAGCATGTGATATTCCTATCAACGGCTGAACTCCGATTACAATCACGATATGATGCTGTCTGATCAAAATCAGTTGTAAGAGCCATCGGAGGAAATATAGGAGGTGGGGGTGGAGGTGGTTGTGCCGGTGCTGAGACCAGTAGATTAGAGGGATTAATTGGGTACTGTGGTGACTCTTGTACCCCGGCGTATTCCACAACAAATGTTTGCATCTGAGGCTCAGGAGGATTAAAAAAATCCATTGGGGTTGTACTGGATTCGGAGTAGGAGGAGTACTCATACGGAATGCTCTGATGTTGATCTGAGGAATAACAACAGGGTGTAGAGTTGATTACAATCCCATTAAAATAGGGTTTCGTTGGGACCTCAAAGGAATAGGTTTCGCTGATATCCCTTTCCTGTACTTTTGGTCGATATTGCAGAATGAGGGAATCTGTGTCATTTGAGGATTCGTAAGTCGGCAGCTGTAGTGGTAGAGCTGGTGATGTGAATTTTTGGGGAACCTTAGAAGAGTCATAGGACAGAGGATTTGCCTTGAGAGGTGTCAGTCGGTTGGTCGAATGAGCAATGGCTGGTTGTTTAGAAGAAATCTGCGGTGAGTGATGCTGCTTTTGCTTTCGACGTGGTCGATACTTGTAGTCTGGGTAGTCTTCCATATGTCGTGCCCGAAGTTTGCTCGCCTCCTCAACATAAGGTTTCTTATCAGCCTCAGAAAGAGCTTTCCACATAGAGCCAAGGCGCTTACTGATCTCCGAATTGTGCATTTTTGGATTTTCAAGACCCATTAGCCTCCTTTGCGATCGCGACCACACCATAAAAGCATTCATCGGCCTCTTTACTCGCTCTGCTTTCGAGGTGGTTGCTCCACTGTCTGAACTTTCCCGACTGGAACTCTTGAACATCCTTGAGCCGCCTTCGGACACCTTGTGGGTATCCTTTCGTTTCGCTGGTGAAATTACTTGTGACTTCAGGGATGAATTCTATAATTTTGAGGTAAAATTTTAGGCGTAGTTAATGATTAATCACCGATACAACACAACACAATTATTAAAATAAAAAGAGAAGTGATACGTGATCATTCGATATACGTGTTCAAGCTTTAGGTACAAAAATTATTCCTCTTAAATTGGATAAAGAATGAGTAGGGATCCCCTACAGAGAATTTGTCATTTATCGACATCCGTGCATAAATCAGAATGGTTCCATTATGAGCAGGAATATTTTTTCCTCTTTTAGTTTTATGAAGCAGGCAGATCACATTGAGCATAAAAACAGACAGGTCATTCTACTAATACATGGCTCTCCAAGATACCCTTAAAATTTGTAATAAGTAGCTATTGATTCCCTTTACTTAGTCAAGCATTAAACTTAATTGTTTTGTTACCTAAATCAACGATGGTAGCTGAGGGTTAGACATGCATTTCACGGTTGAACGTAGGCGCAAAACAGATGGACTCGTTTTAAATTGTCCAATTTTCTTTATGGGATTACTCGACTCCATGCTATTCTTTCGACACTAAAACTGTTACATGCAGGGTTGCTCCATTAATCTCTAGATACAAAGGGGAAAAACTACAGCTGATTTTTAGCAACCACATGACCGTGTTAGGGCTGGTCGTCTGCTCTTTGTAAAGGTCATCGCATTGACCCAACTAACCCCTTTAATCGTGTCCACAGACTTAATGTTCAACCTGATACATTCAGTTGAAGATTGTATAAAAGACGAGACACAGATTCAGTGTTATGTATTTATTTGTATTTACGTACCCAAAACCTAAATTGACGGCCAATACTGGTAAAATAAACCATAAATTAATTTCCAGTTAGCTCATTAATATATAGCAGGATTTTACAAAAACCTGATAAGTAGTTTGTGGATTACATTAAACTACCCTTAAAATCAAAATTCAATAAAAATTTTCCAGTTTAGTTTCATCGCGTCAAGAAACTATTCAGAAGAGTGCACACTCTCTATTCCCGGGGAGTTACTTGATTAAAACGCATTAATGTTACTGATGGTGCTTATTTTAAAATTTACAATGCAAAAATAAATTCAGCATTTCTTGAATGCATAATCATCCGACTATCGTGCACGGTTTAAGCTTCAGTTAACTCCAGTGTGCGACCCTCTTTAAAAGGTTTAATGTCTTCCTAGTGTAACAGATTCCCCTACTGAAGTCAAAAGTCTACTTTGAATTGGCGAACTGCACACATACATGTGTGACGGTGAATCACACCTCCCCCAATGAAGTCATTTGTGCAACGCACAGGGAGGCGTGTTGATATCTGTCGGAAAATTGACTATCAGCGGCAATCTGAGAGAATTGAAATAGGTCACCAGTGCAGAAAAAAGCGTCTGACTAGTTTGGCCTTGGGCAATAATATTTCATCCTAAAAAGTTTTGCAATAAACTTGGCAGGATCCATTGTAGTAAAATCTGCTCTCTCCACCAAACTTACACTATTACTATTTTTAATACCTAGCATTTCAGTGTTAAAAGAGATGCAAATAAATGTTTTTGGATCATCAGAATTGAAATATACCATGACATGTTTTGCAACTAGGTAACGTCTGGAATATAAGTAGCTTTTTATTCCTCTGCATTTGGGTTTATTTATAAATTAAAAACAAATCAAGTATTAGAGTAGAAATGCAAAGCTGAATGGTACCTGCGGCAGCATAATCCATGCAAGGTTTGGCCTAAAGAATGCTCATTCAAATGGTCCCAATTCAAATGAAACTGATGTCAGTGTCTGACAAAAAAGACATTCAGACAGCATAGTGATTTGTTACATATTGGCAGCCACCTGTGAAAGTTTGCCCTCTGTTTTTAAGATTTTGCTAAAAGAAATTGAGCATAGTTTTGTGTGCTTTTCTCAAAACTCTTAATGCCATTGAATCAGCCTTCTGTATCTTTCATTAAAATGGGCAATTTTGGTCAAGCGGTCAGCATTCCTTAAGGATAAATTCAACAAGTCTTTTTTTATCAGTACATGCCACATATAGAGAACTGTGTGTATATCAAAATAAACTGCCACTCAGCTGTGGCTCCGGGTAATATATGGGTCTTATTCACTATGTAAAGATAATGCACAAGTTTTTAGCTGACCAAATGATTTGTTTTTTTAATCTTAATGCTTATGAAAACAGACTATAAATATTCGTTTCTGCTCTGGGAGCAAGTAAGGTATCTTAGCCTTCAGATTTAGTGAATCATTTCTTTAAATAAGGCATAATAGTAAATTTAATTATTGGGTTCACCATCTCCACTACTTTTCTGCGTAGCGGTTGTATTGTATTCTCGCACAGATATAATGCGATATTACATTTCCATCTGTGGTAGCTTTCACTAGTAGTATTGGTAAATTGAGCTTTAGCCAATTAAGCAAAGGTGGTTTTTTGCCACTTCTTAGGTACTTAATTTGATGCCCTAGTATTTTTGCATTAACGAGTGCTTATTACCACCGAAATTACGCCTTATTGTGGCATTTTTAATGTCCTCATTAATAAAATTTTGGACCAGATTATTTTTAAACGCCTTCCAGTAAATTCTAAAAACAGACCGACTTCCATTAACTTAAAGGCATTTTCATTAATATAATTACATTCATTTGGAAATCCCATATAACACTTTAGTTCAGGATTTTACACCCACACTTTTGCCATTTTAAATTCCGGTGAATGGATTCTTTTCATCAATTGCGGAAAAGATTATGATGCGATTCATATTCCATCGGTAATTCTTAACAGCTTGTGAATATTGCGCACAAGCTGCTCTGACACTTTCTCAGTCTATTAACTCGAGAATTCTGACTACAAAATCCTTTTGCACGACCTTTTACGTGGACAATTTTGAACACACAATGTCGCGAACATGGGTTGTCAATTCGGACCAAAATAGATAATGCTATCCAAAAAAAAGTGATTATAAGAAATTTTGTGGTTCAAATTGACATTGAAGAATGTTAAAACCCACTGATATATCTTTGGTGGAGATAGGAGGCAAAGTAATGTCTACTTAATTGTACAAAAATTAGAGTACTAACATGGCAAAGTAATTAGGGTGTAAAAAGCTATCGATCGAATTAACTATGTGAGAGGTCCATTAACTACTGGTATATCAGTTGTATGGTTGTAAACATAAATCATCATTGTATAGGGAAGCATAAAATGAGGTTTACTACAATTATGTCGCAATGATACATTGTACGCTTTTCACGGTGCACCAGAGAGCATATGGTGAACAACGGGCTGCAAGTCTTGAAGAGGCATTAATATCTTTCAAGTGAATCGATAGAAACTCTTCTCTGGTTGAAGTATAGAAATGAAGGTATTATTTGGTTTATTTTTGGTGGGCCAATTTTGCTTTAAGATTGCGGTTTTATTTATATTTTTTATGCTTAACAGAATAATTATCTCAGTTAAATTTTACCATGAAATTACAAAAATTCAGTTTAAAGGATTTGATATTCGCATGGCGGCTAAATTGCTTTTTCCAATTTTTGTTATATTCTTTTGATCGGTGTATACTGTTTATCGACCTATTCATTTCTAATAGCGAAAGGAATCTTTTCAAGATTTTTGAATTCTTGTTTCTCGCCACTGGTTTTTTAGCCTTACGGAATGTTGTATTTTAAGCTTCTCGAAATAATTCGAGCCTTTCCTAAAATATCGGGTGTATTCGTAGGCCTTGTTCACATTGGAACCCTCAAAGGTTAAATATGTTTACACAATAGGATTGCTGATGAAATTCCTTCTAACCAAAATCTTAGTATGAAAATATGTTCTAAAGTAGGTAAAATATGAATTATAAACAATTCATGCAAATGTATTCAAGAAGGTACTTCTTGGGATGAACTTTACTGCTAATACAAATTCTTCTAGAGCACTATTTCAGGAAGCTGCATAATGGCCCTGGTGACAAAAATGTAATAAGTACAGGAAAATGGTACAAAAGTAGAATTTGCGCCCAATAAAGCAAGAGGACAATAAAACCACTAGTATTACTTCCTACGACTGGTGATTGTCTTTATTATCTGAAGACAGACCACAGATTGTGATGTTCGCTATTTCGAAGATATAGTTACAACAACACTGATTTCTATTTGAAATAGACCCGCCTACTGCATACAACTTTGGGACGACTAAGTTGTAAAGATGGACCTAGTTCGCGGAATCCCCTTATAAAGGCAAAGGTTTGTTGATTTGGCTGCCAACTAGACAAACGGAAAATGAAATTGGCTTTACTTCCCAAAGATTAACAAAGTTCTGTCATACGCTTCAGCATCAAAGAAATAGAGCTTGTGTAAACAAATGACGATTTTGTGTTGAAACCGATAAAGCATATATAACACCAGTGTTAACTGGTATTATTATCCTTAGCGGTACGAGAAGCTCATTAGCTCAAAAATTACTTGTGGTACTCTTAGATAAAGTCTGACCCAGATAACATTGCATTTTCAAACTCTGATGTATTTTCCTCTATCCTTTGGCGAGACAGAAAGAGTAAGTTGATACGCTGACATCTCATTCGCATTTCGAGTAACATAGTGTCAATTACAAAACGATGACTTGAAAGGGTAATCCCTTTACAGATGGTGAATCTAAAGCGGCTGAATAAAATGACCTTGGTAAGTTGAAACACTGTCACCTATCGAATAAACGACAGACTCGAGGTCAACTTCCAAAATTAGCAAAACTCGGAAACAAATAAGAGTTTATTCCCAATTAAAGGTAAAATGTTTTTAAATTTCAAGCTTCTTTGAAGTAGGCATATTAATTTCCAGAGATAGTGGCGTATTTAGTCGCGTTAATTTTTAGGAAAACTATTACTTAGCATAAATTATACTATTTTTGTGAAAAGACACACTATTTCTCATTTCATTGCATTATTAAGGTAAATAATCCTTCACAAACGGGTAATTTTAAAAGCTCTTAGCCTTTAAAGTACAATAAAATTATAAATGACTTCTTCACTACTTCTGAAATGAATGATGCATAAAAATAGATATTTAACCAATCTAAAACCTTTTTACAAATAACATGGTGATACACACAAGTTTACCTTAGGACGCATCATAAGGCGAGGAATGAAAAATTCAGATTTTCATCTCACCCATGCACCAGTTGCCTCAATTCCATTAGCTAGGGTATCCACTCCATTGTTACTGAGCTGAGTGGTCTTTACCAAGGAGCACACCGTTTCGCCAAGTGGACTAATATCTCCACTGGTACTGCAGGATCCTCTGTCCCCCTCTGCCACCATCTCCTCGTCATCTCTCTCGAACTCTGCAAGGAAGCCGCCTCCGCGGACCTGCTTCAGGGCGTCATCAGTCTCGGTGATATTGGTACAGAAGTTTGCCAATGAGTTCGCTGTTCCAGCATATCCCTCTCCACTACCGCCAGTGGGGCCGTGAAGCCTCGGGGGCTCCGTACCAACAGTGACGCCTACGGCAGTGATAGGGACGGTGACAGTGGCGCTGGTGCCATGAAAGCACGGAGTAGCCTCGGTGCTTTGACCGTAACCGTAGAATGTCGGTGTTCCGCAATCCCACATACCAGTGTACAAGAGCCCCTTAGAAGTGTCTGCAACACAATACAAGTGAGCAGTAGCAGCATGAGCTTCTACTAAAAAAGCTTTCAAGCCTATTGTGTATGTGTGCGTGTGTGGGCATGCGTGCGTGCTCTAGAGGCCCAGACGCAAGCATATACGTCTCTGCCTCTCCCTATCACCCATTCCCTCCTCCACCCTAACCTACGCTCCGGCCAAGGGTGAGCATACTCTTTCCCCTCCTCCCGCGCAAGTGTGCGTGGGTGCGTACCCACCATCCGTGCGACCGTGCGACCTTCTGAAGTGCGTGTATAACGGACGCGTGCCGGTGACAGCAAGAGTGGGTGCATTGTCACGCCTCCGTGAGGATGGCAATCAGTTTGAATGCAAGTCCCTGTACTGTCTTTAAAACAAAAATAGCATAAAAAGTTGTGACCCGAAGAGCCGTCTAACAAAGAAGGAGTCGCTAGGAAAAGGTGACCATCAGTGCCAATTGGTTTGAATTAGCTGCCTCTATTAAATCGATGGATCAACTAATTTTTTTACCTAATGCTTTCAAGCCGACATTCAATAAGATTGATAATACTGAGGCCATATACAAGATTAAAAGGTGATCTTAATGTGCGAGTTACGTAGGAAAAGCGGCTGTTTTCATTCGAATGAGCTCATTAATGTTGCGGTTCAGTGCACGGTAAGAGAGTGTGGGAGGTATTCAAAGGCCGAAAATAATTCTAAAACTCCAATCTCTTACTGATTAAACTAAGGTTATTGAAATTTTGCCGAAACTTTATTGGTGATAAATCGTAGCTGATGAGTGGCGAATTATGATGCATGCTATATACGTCCATATTGTTAAAATGAAGAACTTTCAGTACGCTCACCACAAATAGCAGGACAGCATATCAAGTGCAGATTTTGAGTTTTTAGCTTCCGAATAATCCTACGTCAATGGGAGCATCACAGGGTACAGCATAGTTACCTTTGGAATCCGTAAGGCACCAACATGATCGTATTTCCTTTTAGTTAATTATTTTGCTATATTCAAAATCGCAAATAACTTTAAAGAGTAAGTGAGTTCTATTCTTCCCATACTTTGACATCTGTAGGTGTTCCATTAATGAAGTTGTATTTTTGAGACTACCTTATAAAACGGATACTTCTTTTCTTGATATGAAATGAAACAGATCAAAACTGCTCTACAGAGTAGGCGCAGATGGCATTTTTGGATATTTTCACGGGGCAACGCATTGCAGGAAATACTGAATTGCTTTAGCTGCTCTGATTTAACTTGGGCTCCGGAGGGTATGATCAGAGTTAATACTGTAATTGCTTTAAATGATGAGCAGAAATTATTTAATCGAAAAACAATATTTAAAGATCATTATAAAATATTAGGCGAAAGGAAAAGTGAACAAATGATGGGTATTAAATTGGGTATAACTTTGTCTCAGGTTACTTCGGGGGCATTGAGTTATCGGTTGCTAGCATCCAATAAACAGATTTTGAGAACAGTACTAAATGAGTATGCAAAATCCTCAAATGGTGCAAGACACAAAAGGTGTCCTTGAAATTTTCCTCAAAATGATATTCGAAATAATTTTTCTTTCGTAGGTTCCCACGCTTTGCGATCTTATCTTGGCGTATCCTCAGCGGATGCCTGTCAGCAAATAGCCCGCAACCCCCGGACACCAAAAGACCTCTTTTAAGCTCCTTCCGGTTGTTGCTGCTCATCGTCTCCCTACCTTTCATGCCCGTTATCTCACTTTTAATCTTACACCCGGTCATTCCAGTTCCTTCGACCACTTTCCTTTCTCATGAGAAGCTTTTGTCATGTACCCTTCGCTGCAGATGAGATGAACACTTGTACGTTAACTTCTTTCCTTTTGTATATTTAATTGAATGCACCAGATCATCCACTATTACAACTTTACCAAATTATTTAGAATTCAAACCATCATTTATCAGCCTGTGTCAGAGAAGAATAGCAACGTGCTCAAACAAAATGAGAAAAAATGCTAAAATAAAATGCTTTTGGCAGTCTTTTGTTATTTACGCGCCTTTTCCTTGGCAAAACAAAGTGAGTTTATAAAAATTTAATAATAAACGATTCTTATTTGTGTTCCGTGAATCAAAGTGCCATGTTTCCTAAGTGAGCTTCGTACTTTAAATTGAACTGCAAGAATTGGTGGATTAAGTTATCCTATCAGTGGTAGGGATAACCACTTTTAAAAGCAGACTTTACCAGTAATGGCTTATTTTTAAAATAAGTGACCAATTTGTTGGAACTCAAGGAAATATAGTGGATGAAGTTTGAGCCCTACTGATAAGCCCTTGAGATTCGATGTGAGTAAAATTTATAAGCACATTATTTTGGGTAATAAGGACGTTGCCTACATATGCATCTGCATTTTTTTCTGCCAGTAAATTAGGATACTATTAAACACTAAAATCACAGAAAAAAGTCAGTTTAGTTTGAAAGGATAATTCCAAAACTGGATCTGATCTACTTAATTCCATTTAAGCGTCTGTACAGACTCAGTCTGTGTAAGTTAGTTTGGTTTAAGCATTGCAGCAAACCCCACAGTTTTGTCCTTCAACAGGTTTTCCTTTCGTGACAGCCTTTCTAGCAGCCAGTAGACAGTACCATCGATCATATTTTTGCTGAATTTCGCCCCAAACTTGCCCATAGGGCAACATGGTAAGGCATCTGGCACCAACTTGCGTTTTTGTGTTCGCAGTGGCTGTGAACATATGCTGTGGTTTAAAACAAGGTGTACGTAATAAACCAAGTTTATCTGTTTCTACGAAGGCAACATTTACTAAATTTTAGAGTCTTTTATACTCCCTGGCTGACTTCAGCGGCGTAAATATAAACATATTATTTTTGGGTAAAAAGTTGTTTTTTCCTAGATTATGACAGGACTTACTTTATTTCTCACTAGTTATAGTAGCTTTCATGTTAGTAGCTCTGGTTTCCTACAGCATCACAAAATTCTTTTGTCGCCTAATGCAATCAAAATAAACCATGCTTCAGTAGAATAGGACTTTATTTAGTTTCTGCTTCTAACTTTTCGGAAACTTATTATAAAATGGAACTAATGGCAACGCAGTAGTAGCTTGTTTGTCTTAGAAACAAAACTAAAATGAATCCTCTCTTTCTCCTGGAGTGGTAGATTAGAATCAGGAATCGAACAATCGTATGCTTATCTACAGACACACTATCTTTGCCCCAATAATGGTCTAGTGTTTCGAGGAGGTCACTATCCGGTTAATGAGAGCTTGAGTTTTGAAAGCTCAAGACTAACTGGCCATTCGATTTAGTGTAGTACCTTAAGGACACCTTTCCACAAACACAAGAACTGCAAAAGTTCACCATTATTTGACAGGCACTTTATGGAAGGCTTTATCTTAATGCCTTTCAATCCAAACATTAAGTATCGTTTTCCATGTATTGGCCAATGAGATAATACTACTTACGAAATCACCTATAAAGTTTCAAATGGGTTTTTAGCGGGTATAAACATCTTTTACAAGAAGCTTATTTGCTCACTATCCAGGTTCGCAGCATTGCATTCCTTATTGTATATACACATATTGAAATGTGACTCATAAGTCGCAATTTTTCACTCCCTTATGGAAATTCAAATTCTGAAAAAGTATTCACAAATCGGTGTACTGGTCGTTTTGGCTCCCCCACACAGCTACCCTGTCACATGTAGAGCATAAAATTATTGTTAAACACTGAAACACACTTTGATTACCGGACTAACCTTCCAAAAAGTATGTTAATCTATTAGTTGCCAACCTTTTCAGAGCCAAGGGTCCGGTTTGTGCTTTTACAAGATTTATGCGAATGTGGACTTGACATTCACGACTAACCTGTAGGTGTGCAATCTCGAAGAATTTAGCCCACTTAAGGCATTCTGTTAAGCACCGATTCCCTCTCAGCTCAAAGCATAACCCTTTTTAATCGGTACTATCGTTACGGCTTTTTAGCTACTTTTTTGTACTACGCTAATTGAGGATTTGTCTCGCACGAGGAGCAATGCTAATGACGACGGCGTTTATATAAATAATGAGGCGGAAAGCAAATCCAACCGATACCACGTGAGGAGGGTGCAAGCGATTTCACAACCCTTGCTTTGGAGTTCCATCGCTGCCTTGCACCTCTTGCTGCCTTTCATTCTCCTGAATTCTTAATCAGTGTCGCCTAATCGATCGGCCGGCATGATAGACACCTGCCTCATCGTGCTGGAAAATTAATGATAGGAGAAGTAGTCACGCAAAGGAGACCACTCTTCTTTTACCAGTGCTGAATGCATTTTTGTGTCCTTGTTGTCCCACATTTCTTCCAACTTTCAATTGGACTAATTGCTTACGTGTTTGATGAAACCCCAACTTTCCCTTTTTAAATTACACTTACCCAGTTGAAGTGATTTTGATCAACCACTGCAAACATTAGCGACTCGAAGGTAGTGGCAGCTCCTGTATTGTAGATGACCATACTCTTAGCAAAGTAGGAAGAAATTAAACTACCTAAATCTCATTATGTTCCAAACGTGAACAGATGCACATAAGAGAGCATCCAATCTATCTCTATATTTCTAATTTAACAAAAGCTGCTTCCTTCACGGACATTTAGGACCTTATTTTCAGTGATAACAACACCTTTTAGGGGTTTCTTTTCTACAATGAGTTTTCAGTATCTTTATCATTCTAATCTCACTCATAATTTGATTTCTTAAACCTAAATCAGCAGCATCTCAACCAAAATTATGAGGTAAATCCTCAATTTTAACATTCTCGGCCTGAAAAATAAAAAAAAAGCTTATTTCCATTTATTCATTTTTAAAGTTCTCTGTAAACTAAAACCTTTACTAATTTCTTTAAACTATTTTATAAAGTTTAGATTTTTAAAATATTTACTTCCTACCCATGGCACCCCATGTATTTAATTTGATTCCAATGCTAATATCCTCATTCTCTAATCTGCCAGGGAGACATAAAGACGTTATGCTGCCAAAGTGGTAACCTTTGGTGAGATATCATTTTAGAACTAATTTTCTCCCACATTCCCCTCTTCCGAAACAAAAGGCATAATATCACAATAGCTTTTGTTTTTGAGCCCTCTGCACACAATCATTCATCTTCAAGAAAGTAAAAAAGATCCGAACTGTCCACGCAAAAGTTAGCAAGAAGAAGAATCTCACCTACGCTTTTAAGAATATAATCTGTTTTATGAGTACTGTTATTTTTGTCAAACGCTAGCTAATGGTATAAATAAAAAACCCAGCGATATGCTTATGTACCCTTGCTGCTTTTACTTGAAACGAAAATTGAGTTACTTCATCTGTAAGTGTCAAAATTATGCAAAATTATTGCGTGAATAATCTAAAGAACTGGGAATAACTGTGCCATTCAGTATTTTTCCACTGTTGTAGCGACCGAGGCTTTGCCTTGTTTTGCAAGGGGATCAAATGAAAATTTGTTTGACTAACTGAACAAACAAGAAACTATTTTATTATATAAATCCAAAAATCTGTACACTTTTTACCTCGGAACCAATGGTACGAGTAAGCGTCTGTGTGAAAGTGAAAGGACGTTGCAAAATTTGCATCTTGCTGTCAATTTTGCACTCAACACCTGCGCAAATGCCAAAAAACGTCCCCCACTTAGCCCATAAATATGACATTTTATGGCCTACTGATTCACTATCCTTCGAAAAATCAACGCACACTTCTCCCTCACATACTACTTACTTCTGCGTTTAATTTTGATAGTAGTTAATGCCATTACCAATGTTATTACATTGGCTTTATTAAAGCTAGACGAGGTGATGCCACATTTATTTTAATCGCCACTTATTATGACGTAGTGAAGCAACCTCGTGTAGTACGTTTCATTTCTATATCTTTAACTAAATGAAGGAAAAATCGTAGCCTTTTACCGACGCGGATTAACAATGGCTCTATGGGATTTTTTGAAATATGGAATGGAACGTAGGTATCAAATTCATGAAAGCGTGCATTCGCTGGACTGAAGCGTCAAGGTTAATGTTGTCTCTCACCACCTCCACACATAGGAGGCATAATTTAAAGATAAGGGCGATTTTCGTTCGTTTGAAAACGGAATCAGAATTGCACAAAGCCTTAATTCAATTGATTTTTTGAACAAAATCAAATGACATCTCTCTTCCTTTATTCGTTTAACTCAACAACACTGTACTGGTATAAAATGTGGTTAATCTCATTAAATGAAAACAGGAGAAATTTGTACTTGCATGGTTTAATTTTTGCTGTGCTTTCTTTACCTTCTTCATAAAGTTACAGTTAAAATTGGGGACTGGTGGCGCGTAAAACAACACATGTAGAAGGTAGCAAGTACTACGGCCCAGACGCCTAGGACCATTAATGCCTTTCGCTACACTGCCTCACCAGCAACTCAAGGAAGTTGTTACATGAGCCTGAGCCTTTCCATTAGACAGTGAAATTTTCATGCCTGAAAAGGCAGTTGGTGCTACCAAAGCCAAGTCAACCAATCAGATATAGTTGGTTCAAATTTCAGATTAGCTGCTACTACTTTACGATGTTCGTGCTGCTTAATAAGTTTCACTGACGAAAGCCGACTTTCTCTTAAGCTCATTGATCATTTTATCTATAAACCTACTTTAAAATGTAAATTTGCTATTGCGATTTTTTATGCATTTAAAAATATGATTCTGGTATGGATAATTTCTTGATGGTATTCCTATGTAAAGAAATGAAATGCTTTAAGAAGAAACGCTATGTATCGGTAAATCCTGGAAAAATTTTGCTGGGTTCAAGGTATTAATTTATAACAACGAATTGTAAAAAGGGCTAGAGGTCTTCTTAGATGTCTTGAAAATGGTAGATGATCTTTTCCAATGATTTACGGTTTATCTATAAGTCCTAATTTGCGAAAACTCAAATAAATTTGTGAAAATGAACAATGGGGTTTGATTTTGCATAGCAATGTGGGCCAAGTCGTAAGCACTCCTTTCAATAAGGTCTTGCAGCATTCAGTGTAAAATGATAATAGCTTCTTAAGGTTTTCCTTTCCTAAAGCGATAATGAGGGCGAGGATGATGAGAAGAGATAATACAAGCGATTCACTTTCATCGTGGCAACATCCCATCATCCAGTGGGTAAAAAATCCATTAATTGGATGGATCCCGGATTTTGTGGTTTGGTGCTCAAATAACACTTCAGCTTTGCTCTTAACTACATATTCTGGACAAGGAATACTTTAGTAACAAGAGAACCTATTTGAGCAGGATATCCAGGTTATAAGGTTTTGTGAGCAGACCGCATTTTTTACCCTGCACATGAACTTTATCACATGCTAGTGAGAAGGGAGCGACCTCAATTCAACCCAACTGTAGTGCCATTTGTGTTATGATCTTCCATTGTGAGGCGGTCCGGTACAGATTACGGACAAGTGGGGACATTTTATCCTCTTCTACCATAAAAAGTTTGTAGTCCTGATGGGTACTGCCTGCAGTATAGCTGTCAAGTCATCACTACCTTTATTGCTGTCCCATTTGTCATACAAACGCGGCCTTTCTCAACACCGTGGTAAAGATGTCTAGCAAGGCCCATCAGGTATCTTATACCTTTCAAGCGATGTGAATGGGCTTAGATTTTGTGCACTTACACTAAAATTCACCGCAAGTGATTTGCATAAAGTTATTTTAAAAATAAAATCACCTTACATATTTAGTTAGTAAATTTTAGGCAATAACATATTTAAGCCTCCTATATCTACCTAAACAAAGTCGATTGCAGGTGCAATTTTACCCCTGAAATTTACCCCATGAAATTTATACTTTTTATTTACGTAATGTAGCTACTTTTCACTATGGTACAATGAGCATAATGTAAGCCAAAAATCGTAACCTGTGATAAAGTGAGCAAATAGTGGACGTTTATTGCCTGAAAGTCTTCCCTCACAGTAAGCAGAATGCCTAAGTCAAAATATCATTCTATCCGAGTGGCTACTCCATAATTGTCTTACAAGCTTGCCTTTACTTTCCTTCTGTTGATAGAGTGAATACAAGTATCAAGAAGTTAGATTATTAAGCGATATTTGGGGTCCTACTTTACCACCAATAATAAAACTTGCCCTTAATATTAGAATAAAACGAATGTGTTAAACAACATACCAAATAAATGTCAGTTGGACATTAAACCCAATTTTAATTAGTGCATAAACAAATTCTTCCAAATTTAGCAATGTCATTATGCCCAAGGAATCCCAACCGAATCGGAGCTACATTTAGTAGGTGCATCTGGCAACAGTTTTTTATTCGCTTATCACCCACTACAAATTTTTATCACCCCATTTGGCTGGCACTTTTGCCTTGTGGAATGCATACAGCCTCCACAAAGGGTGCTTTCGATCGACGAATGGGCACGGCGTAAGAATTCGTCAAACAGTCTTGCAAAGCCCTTAAATTTATTTATCTGATAAAACAAATTAGAATAGTAGAGTATAGGACACCTATCTACCGAAATACAACATCATTTCCCATTTCACTACTGTAAAATAAACAACAATGCTCAAATACTGTAAGTCAAAATAATTTCTATGCATTATATTTATCTCGTTGACCTATGACAGATCAAGAGTGGCCGGTGGGTAGCTAAGCAGCCTAAGTAGCAGACTTATCATAGAACATTTGCTTAATTAACTATTAATAGCAGGTATCGTAGACCAGGTAAAGCAAAATTATAATAATAAGTCTTTTTTCACCTAAATATGAAATTGCTTAGATGATCGGTCACAGATATTAGGTTTATTTCTTTTAAGATATAAGTTAGTATCAACTCATACATTAAGTAACAACGGTGAATAAATTATTGCAAGCACATTTGCCTATAAAATATGCTGGTCACACAACAACCATTCACAGCCTCCTTAAGCTATCAATACTAACAGTATCAAGTTATAAGTAATTCTCCAAATGTTGCATAAGGTCAAAACTTCAAGTACAAGTGTAAAGTAGTATACTACTTGTTGCACACCAGTATCAACAAGGATTAACAGACCGCTTATCTGTCCTATGGGTACTTCGAAAATGTTACATTATGTGCAATTTGACGGTGCTTTATTAATAGTAAGGGTAATGCTTGTGAATTCTGAAAGATAGGAAGCAATATAATAAGTTGGAATAATACCGAAGTAGCAGTGAAGGTGGGACAGTGTCCTGGAAAATTCTCCAATTTCCTTCTTCGTAAAATCAGTTGTTTTTAGCTAAACACAAAAAAAGAGATTTAAATGTTTTGTTTAATAGCAAATTTGGCAGTCATCTTTGATTTTAGAGAATGTTAACTAAGTAACATAGATGAACAGCAAGGAATAACCGATAGGGGTAAGGCTTATCTAGGTGCTGTTCATTCTAGCTATTCCTCACAACAACTTGCTATATTTAACGTTACCATAAATTGCAGCAAAGTTACTCAAAAAGTGATTTGTTTGGCTCAAAGAAAATCGATTTCAACTAAAAAGATCCCCATTCAACTTCAGGAAATTTTGCTGTCCTGTTTTTATATTTTACTAATGACCTTATAAGTAGCAGCTTCAATGAACTCACGTAAATTGAGCTGTTTTTGCATGGTTGCAATCAGCTCTCTTATCTCATTGTTTTGGAGCTCCATCCGACGCCATAGTTCTGGCACGCTAAAAGTGATGTCTTGACTATACATAGGATTGATTGATTCGTGAGAATGTTGCACAAAAGTCAACGAACTTTAGATCCGAGGAATCCGCAGTTTTGCTGCCACAGTACATGCCATTTTTCTCCTTGAAAATCAGCTAAAATTAAAAATAGTGCGTAAAACAACTTTTAACCATTTGTCTTTATTCCACGACATTAAGGAACAAATTATTGTACGTCAGTTGGCCATCATGATCTATTTAATCCTTTACAATATAGTCGGAATCACCCGAGACAAGTTAAATTAACGCGCTGAAAATATACATTTTTATTCGGCAGAATAGCCACTAATAAGCCCCCTAATAACAATGTCTGTTCATTGTTTGAAAAAAGCAAAATTAATTAAGTTATCAAATGTATTGGCATCAGTTGTGAGAACATTACTCACTGGGTGGTATAATTGTGACGAGATTCCATTAAATGGTACTTTGACCATTCCAATGGTTGATATTTTAAATATCAACTTTCAGTTTACAGCTAAAGAAACTATTGTATTTTTATTTACTACTCCTTCACACGCAGCGTAACACTTATCCAAACTCACTGGGCTTATTTAACAATCATTCAAATTATTAAGCGAAGTGAATGAATGAATTAATTAATGAAGTGAATAGTTTGACCATAAAGCAGAGAGGTCAAAGTATATGTTGACGAGCTCAACTCACTACAGAAGGGGAGTCCCGACTGGATTTGGACTTCCAGGAGGAGGAGACAATAAGGTCGTAGAGCTTGCGGGGCAATGTCGCCTCAATGTGGTCGTACCAGTCGACGGTTTGTGAGATCAGTCGAATGGCCGCCTGCTTCCGCACCGTGTCGATGTCGCCTACCGCCAGACCCACCTACAACCCAAATACCCATCATTGTGAGTGCCTTCTTCTGCAATCTGTGCGCTGCTAATATTTGCAAAAATTATGAACTTTAAGTTGCTACAGCCGAATAAACATATAATGGAAATTGTAAAGTTAACACTTCTATAAACGGTTATAAAACGGTCGTGATCTATTGTTTGTTGTCCTCACTCTGCATCCAACCGTGTCGTCGAACTTCTACAGCCCTAATCATGTACTGTTCACACATTCCAACTTGTTCTTTAATGACTTTAAAAAGGCTATAAACAGTCAGTTAAATAACATACACAGCTTGTAAAAATAAAAGAATTTTGGATTTAGATAATTTTGCGAAAGGTTTTAAGCCCCCAATATTGTTTAGCAAGCAAATTTAATAATTTATTTAAGCAGGTAAACTTTAGTATAAGCATATTTTACGCAATTCCTGTCTTAAAAATGAACTTTATCGGCGATTAATTTGTTTTGTTCATATTCACTTATTTATACTGTTGAAAAATACTAAAATTCAATTTAATTATTATTCATCTTTTCAATGAAATGGAATCATGGTGCGTAGACCTCCTTTTTCAAAGCTCTTCTGTTCGAACAATATAACGAAAATCCGTTTTATAAATGTAAGGCGTTTTGACGGTCATTTAACACAGAATTTGGTCTATGTGTAATGTAGGTGCAATTTGTACGGCTGTCAGATTGCCTTTTGCTGTTTGAGTGCCATTTTTAAAAGACTTATATTACTGTTTTCAGTTATGTAGACAACTTAACTTTTGATAGTTGACATGGTCGAAAGTCGCATAAAGCGATTATTAATAAAGTCGTCAAGTACTTGTTATCAACTAATAAGTAGTCCACTGACATTATAGTATTTGTGGTAGTGGTTGGTAATTAGAATAGTTTTATGCACTAACAGACGTCTTTGTTATTGAATCTCTTTGTGCTCGTATACAATCTTAGTGCTTTTGTACTTTCATGAGGAGCCTCTGAAGGTCTATTTTAGACTGGATGTGAACATAGCCTTTGCTTAGTGACTCACCAGGAGGTTGGTGAGAATCATCGGTGCGAGGAGGAGGAAGATGACAAACATGACGAGAGTGACCTCAGGGAAGTGCATGGTGAGACTATTGCCGTCAGTGAGCGGTTCGATGATGGTATCCACAAAACTAAAGTCGCCCAGTGACATCGAGAGAAGGTTAAGAATGGCCAGCTCTGGCGTCTGAAAGGCGCTGAGCATCGGCGTCATCTCCGTGGGGTGACTCGCATTATTGTCCTTGTTGTACAAGCACTCATAGGCGGGAAAGCATTGTGCTAACGTCTCCTGCATGGGCTTCGACATCTCGCAAAAAGCCTAGAAAATTGGGAAAATCAGACAATTTCTCACCATCAAGATTCTTCGCATACCCCAAGTGCACGTACCATTTTCGCTTTGGAAGCCATAGATAACATGTTATTAATGGTAGTATGTGAAGAAGTTTTAAAGTAAACATTAAATTCTTAAAAATATAAGTACACAAAAATGGTTTTAAATGCTAATATTTTCACCTAGTGTTTTACATAGTTTTTACTTTCATTCATTAATGAACCCGAAATATGACTAAATTTTAACTGAGCACTGACATAAAATATGATAGTAAATTAAAGGGGGGAATTAAACAAAGTATTTAAGTTGGCAAATATTTGCTTGTTTAGTCCAAGTCATGAATGTGATTGGACTCAGAATAACTGCTTAATTCAAAAAAGAGAGGACGGATTTTTAGATAAGAGTTAGTAAAAAAGTATTTACGTGAACCTCTTCACAATTTTCACGTACGTAGTTCGCAGAAGCATGTGGTTGCATCTACAGCAACTAAATAGGTCGTTTCAAAATCTCTCCGTGCACCGACCTGTGTACTTAATTCGCTTTGTTTTAAACATAACTTTGACTCAGCAACAGTAGTTTTAAACTGTATTTTTACTTTTTATGTTTTTAATCTAACGGAGCGGAACTGGTTATCGGTCCTAGCAATGCTCACTGTGCCAGCACTACTGCATTCACTAAAATTTAAGCTCTCCTTATTTGATCAGAATGTTCTGCACGCTGGCTTACTTTATAATCGGGTGCTTTGAAGAGCACATAGAATGGCAGCGAGCAGGAGATTAGCACGAGAACAACGACTACGGCCGACTTTCCAAGAGTTTTGGCCACTTGAAAAAACATCACCACAAAGATTCCAACGATCTTAAAACTAAAAATGGAGGAGATTTAATATTGGGCATCTCAGGAAATGATCGACAGCAATGCCCTTGATTCAGAATATTTACCCTTGCCTGTCTTTTTCATAACAGTTCCGTATTCAAAATCGGAAGTGGCCTTTTCTTGGCTGGACAATTTAAAGACGATTAAAAAATAGCCATCAACGTAAAGAATGAACTATTAAAATCCTGTTATATGGATTTATTGGCATGTAGATAGTCGACGATCAGCAAAATTGCTTCCGCAAATGTTTCGTGAGGTTTAACGTATTCCTCAAAGTAAAAATACTAATTAACATAAGGATTATGTCATTACCTACTACAACTTTGTAACTTGAACGCCATTTGGAAGAAAAATTATCACTAACTAATCACCAGCAGCGGGCTTAAACCCTTGAATCACCACTGTTTAGGCCAATATCTATCAAGGAGGTGTGACCCTATTTGTGGATCATACCTTTCGTTATCTGAACATAGAACGAGTGCTTCACAAAATTGTAGGCGAGAAGAACATAGATTGACTATAAATGTTACCGCATCAGGTGAATTACAAAGTAGCTCCAGGAGAGGAAGAGCGCAATCGCTCCTAACTCGACGAAGTGGTGGTCGATGAACTTATGCAACGACATCACGCCGTATGCGGTGGCCACTGCAAAGACGCTTAACGAGTAGTAGGTGGTGAGGTCTTTGAAGGACTTTAGACCCTGCAAGGTTAAGCCAATTCACACATTAACATAAAAACAAAAAATTGGCCGAAATATTTGTGTCTGAGTAGAGTGACGTTTTTAAGATCTCATGATCGACTGGAGGTGATCTTGATGAAGTAAGAGGAAATCACCTCATTTGAAATTTGAATTTTCCTGGCAAATGTGCACAAGCAAAAAGGCGAATGACAGGCATTTAATCAACACGGCTGCTGCCAGCGTCAAACACCTGTGATGCCTGTTCCCGTCTGTCATGCATGAGACGAAATCAGTTCCAAAGGATGTTAAATAGGTTGGTACTGAAAGGACAATTAATGGCAGTGTGTCATATTATGATGATGGAATATTCGTGGCGTGTTGAACGATTTTCCCGTGAGAGTAGGATAGCGGACGATTTAATCACTTCCCTATTAATAAAGCTGTCCATCTTTAATTTATAAGTTTTTAGAAAAGGATAGGTTTAAAAATGCCTTTAATTGCTTGAGATGGTATCTGGCCAAACTTCTTAGGTTATTCTTCCTTCCGTTAAAATTAACTAAAAGTAAGATGGAAACATCTTTGACAAGTTTTGCTGTTAAAATTGTGCTTTCGAGAGGGTAGCAAGCATTTCAAAAAGGTGCAAGCTAGAGGAAGACCTTTGATTTCGGATTTTTTACAAATAATTTTAAAAATAAATGCACTATTTGACAAAACATGCCTGTTTACACAATCATGGGGATTTACTAATAACGACTTATTAATGCATTGAAAGTTTTCCAAACGTAGAGTTCACTCACTTCACCAAATATGAGAATTACATCCCGCAGCATGCAAATGGTAGATGTAAACACGATGGCATAGCTCAGTGCTACTTGAACTCTGCGTCGTCCTGGTGTGTAAAATATCTGGGATAGAGAAAATAGAATGTCTTAATTGGAGTTTGCATTTTTCCCCTTTTAGTTAATATCACAGTTGACTTTTGCATTTGACTTATCAGACACGAGTACCTGATTTCGAAAATGGCTGCTAGCTTGTCTTAATATTGCACCAATGTCAATCACTGTGCCTGATCTTCCGCAGCTACGTAAAACTAGAGAGACGTATGACTTAATACATTGGAATAAGTGATAGGTTCAAAGTTCATCTACTCCCGTGGCATATATCGCTTTGCTTTTTAGGCATACAGTTGTTTGTGTTATTTGTTGGAGTATTACCTTACGCTGTAAGTGAATAGTCTATTCTATGAGGGACCTGCTGGCATAAATTGCCAGTGCAAGGCCATCACAAATGAGTGGTTGTTGGCAGATTATTTAATTTTGTCATCCCACTATGCCAAGGAGCAAAGTTTGTTTAATTCATCCGAATCTCATTCAGCTCTCTATTTTCAACTGGATCCATATTTTCTCAACGCCAATATCACATGTCATATATTTATATCCATATCCGTTTTGGATCTCTAATGTGAATTACGACTTCTAAAGGAACTAGGAAATGTTACTCTTTGCAGTTTTCTCCAACATGGTAGATATGCAACAATCATTTTATGGTTTTAGAAAAAAAAACTTGAAATAAGACTGGAAATATAGTCGATAACAATGCAAGTGAACCGTTGGTTATGCATCTTCAGATGTGACGGGAATTAAATCAGTTAATGCAAATGTTGAAAATATTGGCACTCAAACCTGTAACCTGGGAAAAACGGACTTCAATTTACTGAAATAATGAAATACATAGGTAGCCTAATGCGTACAAGATTATAGCAGGTCTCATTTAGCCGAGTGTTTGCTGTGTGCTGAAGTGGCTCATGAGAGAGTACGAGGAAAGTTAGGCAAATGAGAAAATTGATGTAGAAAGCTGAACTAAGGCAATGAACCCAAAAGCCGTATCGCCTCCTACAATTGAATGACACAAAGACTGTTTCAATTAAAATGAAAACCAAATAAGCTTTCTATTTTGTCTGTACAAATTAAACTGAAGGATGTTTGTCACTACGTAGAATGTGATTATATAAATAATGAGAAGTCAGAGGTAATGAAGTCACTTAGGCCTTGAAAGTCTTTTAGATTTTAATTATTGGCAGATTTTTAAACTGTACTTTTGACTTTCAAAGAATTCTCTAGCTCTTTATCACTGTGCCATGGAGTTTAGTTAAGTTCAATGTAACTTAAATAGGGCAATGTGATTTTAAGGTATTAAGTCGGTTTTTTGGTATTTATGTTCACTAAAACTTTGCACGAAGTGATACAAATGGCCATTATGCCCTTGTAAAATTATATTTTATTTGCTATATTGTTTAACTGACGGAGGAATTTGTTTCAATCTGCATCGTCGCAAGTCTGTCCTGCTGCTATGTTAGTGTTAGTGGGGTAAATGAAATAAAAAATCGTCTTTTACCATTTGCACCAGAGCAACGCATTGCAGAGTGGGTGAACGATCAACTCATCCCGCTGCAGGGAAATCATAACCTAGAGAACAGTCGCAGGAAGTTTAATGTTTCTGGAAGTATCCCAATAAAAACATCACACTTTATGCCCATATTACGTTTGAAACATGTTGCCTACCTTCAGTAAATGAAGTGGTGTATGCTGTGTTCTGTCGAGCAGTGGCGCTTTAGGTTGAAGAATGGAGAAGTCATATGCAACCTTGATAATAAAGAAAAATGTAAATTGGGAGTAGGGTCAACTAGCGTAGCATTGATCGTACCTCATAATTGGATTTGCTTAGACTGCCTTCTTCTTTAATGTACCGGTCCATGATGATCTAGTAATAGATAGGAATTAGAAATACTGTCAGGAATACTCAGAATTTTTATTATTTGTATGCCTGTCACAAACCGGGCAAAGGCTGGGAATTTCTCGAATGACTTTCTCAATGGGACACTGGTCCGTGTGATTCAAGAGTTCAATGATCTCGTCCCATCTGCAAGTGAAATAACTCATCTGATTTCTAACGGTAACCGATCCTTTCCCGTCGAATTAAAATTGACCCAAAAGTACATCTTTCCAAGCCAAATAAACAAACTGACAAGTTATATGAATATTAATCGTTTCAGATTAATGCAAAGCTAAATTACGTTAGTGATATAAATTTAAAGGCGGATTTCAAAATAGCCAGCTTCATTAGATATTGAAAAAGTTTCCGTCCAGTTATTTATGCGAATCTTAGGGATCTCGTTTCAAGTAAGCAGTGGCCCTAACAACTTTGAGTCCTAAAATCACTTTTAAGTAAAGTCATGTGCCGCTAAAGACGAGCAAATTTTGAACTTCTTTTAAGGTACAATTTCACTAAAAGATGAAAATAATGACTTGGTGGGAACAAAAAAGATTAATTTAAGCAGAAATTAAGTTTTTTAAGTTAATAGGACAAAAAATGCAACTACCAAAAAAGTGAATATGATAGGGATATTCTTTGTTCGTTAATCTAGCAAGTGCATTCTAAACATGCATTTAATCGTATCAGCATATCTGCTTCACAATGTTGCGTAATTTTTAAGGTTTAGATGCTTTTACGCTGACCACGTTATCGTTATTGTTTGTGTCCAACAAATGACAAATAATCACAAACAACGGATTCGTAGCTAACACAAAATAAAGTTTATAAGCTGAAGTCTATTTCATTGATATGTATTTTTTCGACTGTATAAGCTGACACTGCCTTTTTAGGAAGCACGCCAAAAATTTAAAAAGTAGAATCATTACAGATCGCTCAAAAAGTGTACTTTCATTCAAACTATAACTAATTTTCACACACTTCCCAACGCTTTGTATCTATGTTAAGCCAAGTGTTGCTTCGGAATCATAACAGTAATATAGACTACCTCTTATTGGAGATAATGGCAAGAGCAGCTTTCACATTCTCCTTCTTGAAAGCGTAAGAGGTGAAGTAGAGTCCATTCGCGTCCTGTACAAATTTCGCCTCCTTATCCATCAGATGCGTAATAACGCTGTCGTGACCCTTTTGAGCCGCGTAATGCAAAGCTGTCATCTGAAAGTAGCAGTCACACTAAAAGCAACTCTTTAATAGTTACTTTACTTAAGATCAGAACAGGTGATGCATTTTTCGCCCCATTCGTCAAAAATAAAGTGATTGGTGGTTATCTCCTAAAAATATTATACGATGTAAAGGAAATTTATAGTAAGTAATAATAAATAGGCAGTATTTCAGCACTCATTGAAATAAATATTCACAATTGCGCATTTATTATGTCTGATGTCCGAATGAAACTTAACTTGTAATTTTAATGGACCTTATTTAACTCACTAGTCCTTAAAAACTTCCACCTCATCATGCGTGCGACTAAAACGTGCTGATGTAAAAAATTGGCGGAAAACGTGAAAGCATTTATACTAGTCTCTTGCAAAGATGCGGTGATCTATTTTAAAATTCAGGTCTATTTTAGGGAAATGGTAATAAAACTGATTTTTACTTCTTTTGGTTGACAAAAGTATCAAATAAACCAAATACATAAACTTTTGCACAGCCTAATTGAAGCAATTCACGATACAGCTGGTTGGCTAATTCGGGGTTTTAAATTTGCATTCACTTGGATAGTATAATTTCGTTCCCATTACGTTTTATTATGGCTCAATGGTATCAAACTCACTTGGCAAAAAAATGAATGCTTCTGGCTTTGTGAGAGTGCATGCATTGCAACAGAACAGTAAAACCCATAGTTGCATGGAAAGCGCAAATTCAAAATTGGTGAATTGCAGATGTCTTAATGGTTTAGTATAAAACTAACTTATTGTACATTATCAGCAATTAATAACTTGATCAGAAATGAAATCTCCTTTTGTCTCACGACAACAAAATACTTTGTCCATTACGATCTTGGGATAATCTTCAGAAACCACCCACCCCGCGAAAGTCACATGCATCGATGATGCATGTATTGGCTCCGAGGATGACTTTGCATGTCTCCAGACATCCCGCCTGTGCTGCCCAATGCAATGGTGTCCGTCCCTTTTGACACCTGCGAAACCCATGCAGAATTATGCCAAATTCACCTTGACTTTGTAATAAATCAACTAAACGCAGAACTAACTCTATGTTAAAGGCGGACCAGAAAATAAAATCGGATATAGTGGTCCGGAATGTAAATAAGTTAACTAAGCATTAGTAATTTAACTAGTTTTGCATTATTTTATATATGGTAAGTGATTTTATTTGATCGCCTAAAATTGACAATCTTAAAAATCCATTAACGGTAAAAAGTCAACAATGGTTTACCAAAAAGCATTTACGTTTCAGAAGTTTATCTTGACTCTGGCTGGGTCGAATAAATGAAGTCCAGAAGATTGAAAAGAATAATTAACTTGTGCTTAAAGGCTACTCATAAAACGGAATAAAAAGGATGCTTCAGTAGCTTGAATTGAAGTATTTATTAAAGCAGCTTATAAGCAAAAGGCGTAACGCTCTCGTGAATTGTAATTTCAAATAAAAATATTAAGTATCCTTAACACATTAATTGGGTGTGAGCAAAAGTGTCCATGCTCTCAAATAAGGCCATCAAATTCCGTCACGAATTCTTATTCCTTTGCCCTCCAAATGGGACTTTTGATACACACGATGGTTGAGCTGCTTATTTCTCTGTTCAAAATAAATTGTTAACGAAATTCAGTTCTAATAATTTCGGAATGTCCATAACTGGATTGAGATAAGGCTAAAGACGTAGCAGGCTCTAGCTGACTGGGGAAATTTATCCATGTATGCGCCTAGCATTTACTCAACAAGACATTAAATGCGATAGTATGGTGTTACTTTTATGTGTAGGAAGCCTTAAAAAATTACATACAACTTCAAATAAGTAACATAAAAACCGAGATATTTAAGTTATTAATTTACTAGAATTGGACCATACAGAAATTGGATAAGAATGGGTGATCAATAGTGGATATCCTTCATTTGCGTTAGCCTTACAAGCCTATTCTTTACTGAACGTCAATTACCAAGGCTTTGCAATGGATTTCGGGTAGAGACTTGTGCTTTCTTACATAATGTCTTCATAAGATAGGCCATTTTCCATAGTTCTACCCGAAAAACTCTTTTAAGCTTTTGCGTTTCAGATGGGTATTCTGACTCTCTTAACGAAAACTTTTACCATCTTAGGCAGTTAAAAACATTGCTAGGAACGATTAAATAAGAGATGAAAAGCTGAAGAGAAGAGGGGTAAAATACCTGCGGAGACTGCTGCCCTTAGCGATGAGCAGAGAGACGACTTGAGTTTGTGCGTGGGCAGCAGCGATGTGGAGGGGCGTGCAGCCTTGGGCGTCAGAGGTGTTCATGGACCAGAGGCCGTGGTCGGTGCGCAGCAGACTCTCCACGGTGGCCACACAGCCCTGCTTTGCCGCAAGGTGTAGCGGCGTCTCACGGGCCCCATTCTGTCGCAAGCAGCTTGCTCCACTAGCCAGGAGGTCACGAGTCACACACAACATGCTACTACCACCCTCTGTGGCGTAGTGTAGCGCCGTACACCCGTACTCGTCTTCCTCTCCTATCAACTGTTTGTAGAGTCCATGCTAATAAATAACAAAGGTTTGGGAGTAAGTTTATGTCTTAGGGAATAGAATCACCACCAATCCATGCAACGGTGGCTGAAACACTTGGCCACCATCTTTCAGAAAGCTAATTTTATTGACTCTGTGTCAGTTAATATGTTTGCTATCATTATCTTCATTCTACGTTTTGGCCTTTTTTGAATTTACCGCTTTCTTCATTCTTCCATTTACCTTTTTTACCAGTCTGTGGTAACCTGTTGCATCAAACTATGTGGCAGACGGCTTACTTGATTTAAGAACAGCAAAAGAGATAATGAGAAAAATCTATCTTCCCGTAGGTAAAATTTATAGGTTTTTTCATTAACATATGCGGAGGAAAATATTGCATTGTAAGTCAAAATATATAATGTAAGTTTGAACGTGAATTCTCAATTGTAGGTGCTCTTCCTGATTTTCCTGTGAGTGTATTTTGAACAAAGGTTTTTTCAAATAGGAAAGATTTTTAATTGTGTGACGAACTAAGATGACAACTTATAGTAAATTGGAAAACTCTTAGTTGAAAATCCAGCTGTTGGAAACACTAGTGTCAGTTTGACTTACATAGAAAAAATTGGTGTGGATCTAAAAACCTCTTTCAAGAATGTCTCATCAAAGGAGTCCAAAATGACAACTAGCCAAGTAAGATTGCGTCAGAATTTCTGCTTCAACTCATGAAAATAATCCCTACAGGTGGAATTTTTAGGTGTAGTGTATGATTAAAAGCACAAAATACGAATTTTTACATAGATAATATGATCTAAAATTAATAAGAAGCACTGTTATGCCTTTTGAATTTGTTGCCACAGCGACTCATCTTTAAGAGCACCGTGTATGATGGCGAGATGAAGAACGTTTCTATGGGACAGGTCCAAAGCATGGAGGTCGGCGCCGAACTGGATGAGTGTGAGACAGGCGGCAATGGCACACTTCGCGGTCGCCAACAGTAACGGCGTCCACCCGTCTTTGTCCTGAACCTCCATTGGTGAACGCTGTTAGACACAAAGTACCATCGATAGCATGTTCATCTCTATCTAAATGTTGGATACTTACGGAGCTAATTCAAAAAAAGAAGGGCTTCGGAGTCACTATCGTAAGCCTATGCAAAACTTATTCCATTTGCTTCGATTTTGGTGGCCTATGTTACCATATGCTAAGCACTCACTGATCTTTTAATCTAAAGATAAAGAATAACATTAAACGAATAGTTTCGTTCAAAGTTCTTTGTGTTTTTCTTGTACATCCAGGTAAGGCCAAAGTCGCTTTTAACACACTAACAGGAAGAAAATTCGAAAGGAAATTGCTCATTTGGAATGTCAAAATGATCGTTTTATAAATGCCAGCATTTTTAAGGAGGGATAATTGGATAAATATCTGCAGTCATTAAAAGCGATTACTGTAATTATTCCTAAATAGTTTTTGCACTAAGAAAATTGCTCAGCTTTTAGTACAGAAATGCTTCACAAATTGTATGCTGAAAATTCAACCATCATTCCCTTCCTTCCGTTTGTTATAAAGTTATTCTTTCTGTCATAAAATTGGCAGTTTTAAATAAAAATTAGTGAGTAGGTAGGCTTTAGCTACTTAAAAGTGACTTGTTTTTGAAGGACGACTGTTGATATATGAAAAATTGCCTTGAATGCGTTGAATCTACGGTGGGTTAAATGGTGATATCTGTTTTGTAGCTCAGACAAATCCATAAAAATATTTCGCTCATAATGGACAAGCAAAACTGATCGTAAAGAAACAAAACTATCTCTTGATTTCATCTTTTCATCTAGAATTGGTCAATTTTACTAGCACACAAATAAATACTTCTGATGCAAAGTACAAGAATTCAGTGAGCGATTTTGCCTTGATCTGGTGTGATCAAGCACACTCTCTAAATCTAACTCAGAGTAATCAAGAAATAAGACTGAGAAAACTTAGTCTTTGCTGCCAGTGACACAATATAACCAGAACATGACGTTCATACACCCAGGCTGGGGTACTGAGTCATGGGCTAGTTCCACTTTTGGGTATTTGCAGTGCTCCGACTGGCTGTGACTTTACTAATGATATTAGCACAGTGATTATTAGCCAGCATTATTATTTGGTAGGGCAAACTGACACTAACCCACTTAATGAGGTAGGCGGCGAGTTCGGCGTGGTTGTACATAACAGCAAGGTGGAGGGGCGTGTGGCCATTGCGGTTGACACCAGAGAGGAGGCTCACCATCAACTCTGGTTGCCAGTGAAGGAGTTGTGAGAGTACCATCAACTCACCGCGTCGTGCTGCGTAGTGAATCGCCGTGAAGTCGTGGTTCTCCATTGCAGCCACGTCACTCCCGTGGTCCAGGCAAAACTGACTCCCAAAACAAGGAAGTGGCTGCATATACGTGATCGCTAATCCACTGACTTTCTCTGCTCCGTCGTATTAGCACTTGTTGAACCAACAGTGACAATATTTCATTATATGCGTTATTGTGGCTTTTATTTAGCCATTGCTAAAACGTTCGCTTTGAGACCACTACATTTTATTCATTTGTGCTATAAAAGGAAAGTTTCTTAGGTTCCTACAATGATATTCTAAGAATGACTTAAGACTTGCCCAGACAAATTCCTCTGTAAGTAAATCTTAAGCAGTGAATTCAAATTTTGAGTATTATGCATTTGATATTTTTAATTCTGTTAATCAGCATAGTATTATTTCTTTTTTAAATTAAGAAATATGCTACCCCCTCACCTATGTTTAATAAAAGGATTAGTCCCATTATCAACGACAAAGTTCAGAACTTGAAGTTATGCATATCCAAGGTGCTGACAAAAAACAGTGATCGCAAACTAAAGTTTGTAACAATAACAATTCTTAATGATGTCCACTTTCACCATCAAATCAAATGATACATCACATTTCTGTTTGTTCTCTTTGTTTGTACGAACAATCATACCTATAATACTATCAAATAGGTGATCTGTGAATAAATGAACATGAATGGAGCACTGAATGGATGTAGTAAGGTGGGACTCACATCGATCATCTCGATGTTACCGCTGTTGACAGCCAAGTGGAGAGCAGTCTCACCCTCACCGTCGGGTAAGTTGATGAGGTGGTTGTCAAAAAAGTTGACTGCGCCTTCCGCCTCAGCGCCTCCAACACACAATTCTCCTGTCTTCGCAATGGCCTCGTACTCCAGCAGTATTTTCAGACAATCCAGACTACCCGAGAAGACCGCCACATGGATAGGGTACTTACCGATTGCGTCCACTTTAAACATGTCCGCTCCCATGCCCAACTAGTAAAAAACAGCACCATATTACAGCAGATTCGTGATAAGTTCCGCTTGTTCTTTTCATGGGTAAGTAAACTGATTACTGGTGCATGATAAAACAAATCTTCTTAGTAGTATTTCTACTTCATATGCTCATATTCAACTTTTTTGTTTCCAGTGGACTTAATTCATAAGTGTCTCAACTGTAGGTTCGAATAAATAACCGGGGTTTTTAATTCATAAAATGACATGGTCCATTTTGCTAAATTTAGTAGCTAAATGGGAATAAATTATTCACGCTTTTACTTTCAAAATTGCTGTTCCTTGGCGATCCTTTGTGCCTTACATATATTTTGGTATTTGCTCTCACCATCTTTAAGATGACAAAACATTAAGGCGCTTTGAATTTTTACGGTATTTTTGAACGCAGTTTAATTATTTATCCTTACTTGCTCTTTACTAATAAAAGCGGTTTAGAAAATGAGCATTTAAAAAAACTCTGAGCCATCCAAGTCACAATTTACACTTTGCAATTTCCGAGGGCTCAAGCGCGAAACATTTAAGCGTGCAAACTCTATATTCTAAACGTTAACACTAAAAATGGACAATTATCGCGATTTAAATTTTTTAGAAATGTGGTAAGTACATTTGCTTCCACGCTGAGCTTTACTTTTGTCGGTTGTTTAAGCCTTGGTTGGTTGCACACTATACCACATATTTGAATTTAGAAATATAAGATGTTAAGAAGGACAGTTAAAAGTTGTTTCCACCTGTTCCGATTTCTATTTATGAGAACAGGAAGAGCATTATGCCTACCACAATCCTCAGGCATTCAATACTGTTCTTCCGACAGCAGCAGTGAACTACAGTGCCCCCAAATTCACCTGGAGCGTTGATGTCGACTTGTGCCAAACGAAGGAGCTCCTGAAAACAAATAAATGAATAGGCTCTATTCCAATAATTGGATAGGTAACTAAAGGAGCTAAGGATCATACGATAACTTTAATCATATGCTATGCAGCTGCTGTTGCGCGATTTAATTATTTTAACTCGTATTCTTTTCTGCTGACGAATTTGCCATTCGGTTAGGGTTATTTTGAGTTCATAAATGCATTGCAATAGTATTTAACGCTCAAATCAATGCAAATTAACCTGGTCTTTCAAAAATTTCCCTTGTGTTATAAAGCTGGTCAGTTCCTGTTATGTCATTTTGGGGCACAGATGAAGGGTGAGATGTTAAATTATTTTTATTCTGTCCTCATATTTTATAGGAATTGGTTGGAATTCACTTTGATCTCTTCACTCATGATGAGAAAATAAAGGAACAGCAATGTTAAGTGGTCTAAAACTAATTAGAACATAAAGTTGGTCAAATCTGTACTAAACTATGTTGTAACATTTAGATGATTTAATTTGATGGGTTTTAAATTTTCAATTATAATATTCCCTCACCGTTTCTACAATAGGAGGAAAAAGCTATGTTTCTAAAGATAAAACTTTATAAAGGCCCAGTTAGATAGGCAGTTTGTCCGTTTATTTCAAATTAGAACACGTTAGGCGTGAAAAGTTGCTTATACCTTCAAGGACTCCCCATCATTCAACTCGCAGGCAAGATGCATTGGTTGGGAACCCCCGTTATTGGTCAACTCGGCATTGCACCCAAGCAAAATGAGGTGGCCCAGCACTGCTGCTTGCTGTTCCAGTATAAGTCCAAATGCAGAGGTGTCTGACCCT